AAGAAATCTCCACACTGTTTTCCATAGTGGCTGTACTAATTTGCATTCCCACCAACAGTGTAAGAGGGTTCCCTTTTCTCCACACCCTCTCCAGCATTTATTGCTTGTAGACTTTTGGATAGCAGCCATCCTGACTGGCGTGTAATGGTACCTCATTGTGGTTTTGATTTGCATTTCTCTGATAATGAGTGATGTTGAGCATCTTTTCATGTGTTTGTTAGCCATCTGTTATGTCTTCCTTGGAGAAATGTCTTGAACAGGATTCTTGCCAGCTGAACTGATCGTGGCTGTATTGGGTTACTGGACCTGTGAGTCTGTACTAATGTAAAGGGTGGAGGCCCTCCTGTCACTGTCAGATTTTGTCATTACACAATGACCATGCAAAAGATGGTCTAAAGGAAATCCAGGAGGAGGAAACTGCCTGAACTGGCACAACTGTGCAATCTTTTATGGCCCATCTTTCTAGGGCACATCTACCCTTATTTATCAAAAGGGTACAAAGAATTTTCTAGCATTAAAGGAAAAAAAATTTCACCTGAATTTATTTTCCAAGGAAAACAAGCAAAAATCCCATTCAGTTGGTAATGAACAGGGAGGCCTGGCATGCTCCAGTCCACGGGGTCACAAACAGTCAGACACCACTGAGCAACTGAACTGAACTGATAAGAAATCATATTTGATCTTCATCCCCTTTCCTGGGCACAGTTCAGTTTAGTAGCTCAGTCGTGTCAGACTCTTTACGACCCCATGAATCGCAGCACGCCAGGCCTCCCTGTCCATCACCAACTCAAACTCATGTCCATCGAGTCAGTGATGCCATCCAGCCATCTCACCCTCTGTCGTCCCCTTTTCCTCCTGCTCCCAACCCCTCCCAGCATCAGGGTCTTTTTAAATGAGTCAGCTCTTCGAATCAGGTGGCCAAAGTATTGGAGCTTCAGCTTCAGCATCAGTCCTTCAGAGTTCCTAAAACCCTTGAATTTCCAAAGTGACAGGTGTCTTTTTGATGTTAATGAGGTGACTTTTGACCACACCAAAGGATGGGGGCCGGCTGCCAGTGCAACAAACCACGTGATTAGAGGGCTGGAACTTTTGGGCCTGACACTGGCCATTGGCCACTGAACTCAACCTCCAGCCCGTATCCCCTCTCAAGACTGCCGCTGCTTTATTTAGAGCTTCTGCTTGGTGAACATGTAGCAATCCATCTGAAGCGGTACTGGGAAAGGGCATGGAAATTCCTTGCCCCTTCCCCATACCATCCCCTCCACCCAGCTGTTCCTGAGTTATAGGCTTTTATAATAAGCTGATAAATCTAAGTAAGTAAAATGTATCTCCAAGTTCTGCAAGCCACTTTAACAGATTAATCGAACCCAAGGAGTGGAACGTGGGAATCTCTGGTTTATAGCCAATTGGTCAGAAACACAGGCACACAAGTGCAATACAGTGGGTTCAGTCCCCAGACCACAGCAATAAAGCAAGTCACATGAATTTTTAGCTTTTCAGTGCATATAAAAGTTATGTTTATATTCTACCATAGTCTATTAAGCGTGTAATAGCATTGTCTTAAAAAATCAATGTATAAGCCTTCATTTAAAAATATTTTATTGCTAAAAAAATGCTAACTTTTTTATCTGAGCCTTCAGCAAGGTGTAATTCTTTTCCTGGGAGAGGGTCTTGCCTCCATGTTGATGGCAGCTCACTGATCAAGGCGGTGTTTCCTAAAGTTGGGGTCGCTGTGGCGATTCCTTAAAATAAGACAACACTGGAGTTTGCCACGTCATTGGCTCTCCCTGCTCTTCCTTTCACAAGACTTCTCCGTAGCACGCAGTACTTTACAGTATTTTACCCACAGCAAGAGTTCTTTCAAAATTAGTCAATTTCCTCTCAACCCTGCCAGTGCTTTGTCAACGAAGTTTATGTGAGATCTTAAGTCTTTTGTTGTCATTTCAACAATCTTCCCAGCATCTTCACCAGGAGTAGACTCCATCTCAAGAAATCACTTTCTTTGCTCATCCAAAAGATGCTCTCTTCATCCATTAAATTTTATCATGTGATCATGGTAATTCAATCATATCTTCAGGCTCCACCTTTAATTCTAGTTTTACTGCTCTTTGCACATGTGCAATTACTTCCTCCACTGAAGTCTTGAGCCCCTCAAAGTCACCTATGAGGGTTGGAACCAACTTCTTCCAAATCCCTAACGATGTTAGTATTTTGACCTCTTCCCATGAATCATGAATGTTCTTAATGGCATCTAGAATGGTGAATTCTTTCCAAAGGTTTTCAATTTACTTTGCCCAAATCCATCAAAGGAATCATAATATATGGCAGCTATAACCTTACAAAATGCATTTCTTAAGAAATAATATTTAAAAGCTGAAATTATTCCTTCATCCATGGACTGCAGAATAAATGTGTTAGCAGGCATAAAACAATGTTAATCTTGTTGTATATCTCTATCTTGGGCAATGCAGTACATTGTCAGTGAGCAGTAACACCTTGAAAAGAATTTTTTTTTCTCAGCAGTAGGTCTCAACAGTGAGCTTAAAATATTCATTAAACCATGTTGTAAATACATGTGCACTCATCTAGGTTTTGTTGTTCCACTTACAGAGCACAGGCAGAGTATACTTAGCCTAACTCTTAAGGTCCCAGGATGTTCACCATGGTAAATAAGCATTGGCTTCAACTCAGACACTATCTGCATTAGCCCCTAACAGTCCTTTGAAACTTCGGAACCAGGCATTGACTTTGCCTATCTAGCTAGATGAAAAGTACTAGACGGCATTCTTTTCCAATATAAAGCTGCTCCATCAACACTGAAAATCTGTTATTTAGTGTAGCCACCTTCATTAATGATCTTTGACCTTCTGGATAACTTGCTGCAGCTTCTATATCAACATTTAACTGCTTCACCTTACACAAAAGTTATGAAGACAACTTCTTTCCTTAACCTTCATGGATCAACTTCTGCTAGCTTCAAATATTTCTTCTGCAGCTTCCTCATCTCTTTCGGCCTTGCTCTGGATTACGCTCGGGCTAAAGGTAATGCTCTGGTTGGCTTGAGCTTATGTCTAGACTACTAAAACTTTCTCCATATCAGCAACAAGGCTGTTTCACTTTTTTCTCATTCTTGTATTCATCAGAGTAGCATTTTTAATTTCTATCACATACTTTTTTCCTTTACATTCACAATTTGGTTGTTTGATGCCACAGGCCTAGCTTTCAGCCTACTCCAGCTTTCAACATGCCTTCCTCACTTAGTTTAATCATTTCTACCTTCTGATTTAAATGACAGATGTATAACTAGTTCTTCCTTTCACTGGAACACTTAAGAGACTGTTATAAGGTTATTAATTGGCCTATCGCTGTGTGTCAGGGAATGAGGAGGCCTGAAGAAAGGGAAAGAGATGGGGAATAATCAGTTGAAACAGTCAGAACACACATTTCTCGATCAAGTTCACTGCCTTCTGTGGGTGCAGTGATGCCACAGAACATTTACAGCAGTAACAATAAAGATCACTGACACAAATCACCATGACAAATAATAGTGAAAAACTCTGTATTTTGCAAGAATCACAAAAATGTGACAGAGACACAAAGTGAGGAAATGCTGTTGGAAAACCGTACTGATAGACTTACTCAGTGCAGGGTTGCCACAAATCTCCAATTTGTTTAAAAAAATTACAGAACAGTATCTGTGAAGCACAAGACAAACTGCAATAAAAAGAGGGACGCCTGTATAGTTAACAATCTGGACTTGTGACTGGCGTCTTAAGTGCTGGCAGTTTTGTGGGAATGAGCCTTAACCTGTAGAATTCAATGCCATCTCCAGACTGAACTTTCAGATGAGTGGAAAGAACACTCAGCTGATACTGGAGAATTGCTTGGTGTGGGGAAACACACGACACACACACGCTGCCACACACTGGTGACCAAAACTGTTAGGATTTCCTAACAGGAAGGAACGAACTGTCTGAACTGTTAGAGACAGAAACTTGTGTCTCTAGTTCTCTGGCTGTGTTACAAATGAAAAAAAAAAAAGTGAATCATTCATTCAATGTATTCAACATTTTGCTTATTCCACGCTGAGTTTATACCACACCTTCCTGCAAATTACACACAATGGGCCTCATGCCTACATTCTAGTCAAATAACATTTTAAATCAAATTTTACATTTATTATTAATAAAACATGCTGTATAAGTATACAGAAGCCTGAAAATGGTAATCTAGTACTTGGCTTAAATAATACAAGTACTTGCTGCAGTCTTTATCAATACTCAGCCTGCCTTTATTATGGCTTTTAAAAAACAAACTTTAAAAGTGCACGATTCCTTTGGGTTACTTTATTTAGGAAAGACTGGAGTAAAACATCTCTAGTAATGAATTAGTTTTATATAGGTTGGGATTAGAAAATGTCAAGCACTAGAAAAAAACATATTCTAAATTAGCTCAATTTAAATACGGGGCCATTTCATTTATACATTTAATTTGAAACTTCAGTGGTTCACTTAGTTTATGTGTTAATTCCATTCTACCAGGTCTTACTTTGGTAATTTCTCAAGTATCCCAGAGAAGATAAGAAAGGAATTCAATTTCTATCAACTACATTGCTATGTCTTCACGTGAACAGGTTGAGAAACTTTTGCTCCCTGCATGGCAGTCACAACAGGAAAAGAATGCCTCCAGTCCACCAACAAGGAACCAATAATACTGTTGTCCAGCATAAGGGCTGCACAGCTGGGAATATTCACATTCTGCTTCCTTCCAGAGCATTTCATTTTAGCAAATAAGGACTGATTCCTTTCAAAATTCAACTTTGGTTGAAAAACACTGAGGTAACAGACAGAGCCACAAATGCAGAGGTATGAAGGTGCTCCCTAAAAGGTGCTGGGACCTCCGGTGGGGCCTTTCCTTCAAGAACAAATGCATTCAGGAAGCTCAGGAGCACAATTCAGTCATTCTCAACATGTCGTGACACCCTGCTGCATCTTCTTCAGCTAGGCCTGCTGAGACCAGAGAAACCGATCACATTTTTCGAGCATGCTTTGTATCAAGGCTCTGAAATCCCAAAGAAAAGAAACAAGCAAATTTAGTTGTCACTGTTCATTCTTCACAGAAGTAAAGAATTCAAAATGCTGACTGATTCTGTGAATCAAAAGACAAAACTAACAGAGTGAAAAGGCAACCTATGAATATGGCACCTTGCGCTATATAGTAAGAGAAAATATTTGCAAATCATGTATCTCAGAGGTCAATATCCAGAATATGTAAAGAATTCATATGACAAAAAACAATGCAATTTAAAAATGGGCAAAAAACTTTAACAGGTATTTTTCCAAAGATGACATTCAAATGGCCAACAAGCATATGAAAAGATGTTCAACACCACTAATCACTAGGAAGATGCAAATAAAAAACATAATGAGGTATCACCTCATGCCCATTAGGATAGCGAACTATCAAAAAATAATAACTAGTGTTGGTAGGGATGCAGAGTAACAGGAACCCTTGAGCACCACTGGTGGAAATGCAGAATGGTGCAGGATCCATGGAAATTAGTATAGGAGTGTCTTAAAAATTTAAAAACAGAAGTACCATCTGATCCAGCAATTTCACACCTGGGTATACACCCAAAAGAACTGAAAGCAGGGTCTCAAAGAGAGATTTGTATCCTCATGTTCACAGCAGCATTACTCACAATAGCAAGAGGCGGAAGCAACCCAAGTGTCTATCAAGAGATGAGCAGATAAACAAAACGTAGTTATATACATACAACGAAATATTACTCAGTATCAGAAAAAAGGGAAACTCTGACAAATGCTACAAGATGGTTAAGGACATTATACTAAGTGAAATAAGCCAGCCACAAAAAGACACACACTATGGTCCCAGACAGAAAGAAGAACAGCGCTTGCCAGGGCGGGGGCAGAGGGAGGAGAGGGGAATCATGGGGACGGAGTTTCAGTTTTGTAAGATGAAAAGGTTCTGGAAACTAACTTCACAATGACACGAACATACTTAACATTACTGAACCAACTACTCAAAAATGGCTGACAGTAAATTTCATGTTATCTGTATTTTACCACAATTTTTTAAAATTACAAAAAAAAAATTTTTTTTAACTGACTGAGCTGATCAGGGGTGTGTGTGTGTATGTGTGAGTCGCTCAGTCGTGTCCAACTCTTTGCAACCCCATGGACTATAGCCTGCCAGGCTCCTCCGCCCATGGGATTCTCCAGGCAAGAATACTGGAATGGACTGCCATTCCCTTCTCCAGGGGATTTTCCTGACCCAGGGATAAAACCCTGGTCTCCTGCATTGCTGGTATTAGGAATATGGTACAAATAATATTCTTAAAGAATTGAGTATACATCATTTTTGGGTATTCACATCAACCTACAAGTATCTTGGTCATGACTATGAACAAAGTATTACTTTAGCCTCTTCCCTTAATCACCTAAATCAACAGAGAAGTCTCTGTCCGCTCTGTGAGTGAGGGGTTGGGACTATGTGATCTATACAGTCCCGTCCCCTCTGAAAATCTGTGGGATTCTACACTCCCCAAGTGCTTGTGGACAGGGCAGGAAGAGGGCAGGACAGACAAACATTACCTCTGCCTTTTCTCGGCAATTCTCAGGATATCGCAGGTTCTGGTAAACCTCTCTGACAGCTCCAGGGTCAAACCACATTCCTGGAGCAGTGACCAGGCCCGGTCTGGGCCCACGGCCTTAGCTAACAGGAGGGCCACAGTCTCCACAGTGATAGGGGAAGGCCCGTCGCTGAAGTTTCCATCTGGTGACTGCTGTGGGGCTGGCTTGGTGCTTGTGTTCTGCACCAGATGTAGGAGAAGCTTCCATTCTTCCACAGTTTCTGGGATCCAACCTACTCAAAAACACAGAAATAACGTGGGGTCTGAGCACTCTGCCTGCACACAGGAGAAACCATTCGGAAAAATGTTTCATACCAAAACATAAAAATATTAAAGAACATAATCTCATCACGCCGACACAAAGCTGTTTTCTGAATATGTGTTGAATAAATAGCTCATGACAAGGAGAAGCCATGAAATTAGCCTCTACATTCTTTCATCTGCTCACGCAGTAATAACCCAGGGCACACTCCATGCTAGGCATTGAACACGGATGTGAAACAGACAGACATGATGAGTACTGCACTGCTGCGGCGCTCATGGTCTAATAAGGGAGAAAGAACTTAGTAAACACGTAAACAAATCTATGCTCATAAATTGTAATAAGTGCCTGCTATAAACGAAAAGATCAAAGAGCCATCAGAGAGACTGGCAAGTGGAATTTTTTCTTTTTCTGTTTTTTGAGGATCAGAGGAGGGCTCTATGAGAGTGACATTTAAGCAAAGAGCTGAAAGATGAGACAAGTTTACCACGCATGTGCATGTGACCCGTATGCATGTGACATACATGCACGGAAGGTGTCAGGAAGGAGGGGTAAAAGAGCTTACGTTTCTGATCAGAGAAACATGGAAGATGACACAGGAAGAAACTAGGTGAACTCAAGGAACTCAAAGGTGCCGGTGAGGATTGAGAATGAGATGACAGGGCCAGGCCCTAAGGGAACAGCTTAAGAATCTAGACTTTGAGTCAAGTGTAAGGAGTTTCAAGGAGGAGAGCCACATAACCCAATTTTTGTTTAAAAGAAGCATTCTGAAAGTCGGTAACACGGTGGAGTGAAAAGCTACCTTTGTCTCTCCCATTCATCCTACCACCAGTAAAACATTCACAAGCCCACCTCAGAGGTGCCTGTGTCCAATACACTGAGACACTGGAGAATTTCCCGCACAAATGCACAGCTGAAGGTGGCGAACGGGAACACACAGAGGCGGCAGAACCACAGGAACAATGGAGATGGTGCCCGCAGTGCCCAGACCTCCGGCCGAGAGAGGCTGACAGCAGCAGGGGAGGCAGTGCACAAGATTCCAGTCCTCCCACCACCCCCCAGCCCTCGCCAGAGTCGCAGAGCCATGAATCTTAGAGCACTGGACATGGCTCCTCCTCCCTACTCCCCGCTTCCCCACAACAGCAGTGGAAGCTGCCACTCAAGGGATCCTGAACAGGAGGTGAACCAGGCGGCTATGCCAGCAACCCAGCAGAAGAAAGGCATCCGTGGCCCTGCAGGGACAAGAAGTGATGACGAAGGCCGCGTGGCAGAGAGAGACGGTGGGGCTGACTTTCAAACATCAACAGAAGCAGCTGAGGGAAGAGAAACCCAAAACGTGTGATGTGGCACCATCTGCTGGAAAACAAAGGAAAGGCCTCTACCTTGTAACCTACTGTGTTATCAGAATCAAGCAGAGAGGTTACTTGCTACTTAAATGTGCCCGCAGAGGAAAAATTTCATCAAATGTCAAGAAGAACCATAGTAACACTTTATCACAAAAGGACAATGACACTTCTCCAGTAACCTAACTTAAAGTTACAGAACATTGTGAGCTAACTGATAGGAGAATTCAAAACAGCCTTCATGAGGAAAGTCAAAGAGCTACAAAAAAAAAAGCAAAACGGAAAGGCAGTTCAATGAACTCAGGAATAAAAGTGAACAGAGGGGGAAAAAGTGAATGAACAGAGGAATACTTTACAAAAGAGTTTAAAACTCTAAGAAAGGAGGACTTCTTTGGTGATCCAGTGATTAAGACTCTGCATTTCCAACTGAAGGGGCACAGGCCTGAACCCTAGTCAGGGAACTAAGATCCCACACACCATGGGATGCAAGGAGGGTTGTGTCTACAAATCAATTCACATGATATACCACATTAACAAAATCAAGGACGAAAACCATATGATCATTTCAATAGATGCAGAAAAAGCATATGACAAGGTTCAATGCCCATTTATGATAAAAAAAATTTCAATAAAGTGGGTATAGAAGAAACATAACGCAACCTAAAAAGGCCATATACAATAAATCCACAACTAATAAAATTTTCAATGATGAAAAACTGAAAGCTAGTCCTCTAAAATCAGGACCAAGACAAGGATGGCCACTCTCATCACTCTTATTCAACATAGTACTGGAAGTCCGACTTTCAGTAGAGCCTTCAAGCAAGAAAAAGAAATGAAAGGCATCCAAGTTGCAAAGGAAGAAGCAAAACTCACTGTTTGTGGATGACGTGATTTTACACACAGAAAACCCTGAAGACAAGAACTATCAGAAATAACAAATGAATAAAGCTGCAGGGTACAAATCAACATTCAAAAATCTGTTGCAGGGGCTTCCCTGGTGGGTCAGTGGTAAAGAATCCATCTGTCAATGAAGGAGTTGTGGGTTCGATTCCTGGGTCAGGAAGATCCCACATGCCACAGAGCAGCTAAGTCTATGCAACACAACTACTGAGTCTGTGCTCCAAAGTCCAGCAGATGCATCTGCTGAGCCCACATGCTGCCAACCACTGAAGACCAGGCGCCTAGGGCTATGCTCCACAACAAGAGGAACCCATGTGGCTGTGAAGACCTAGCACAGCTACAAGTAACAAAATAAAAATTATCTTAAAAATCTGTTGCATTTCCATACGTTAACAATGAGCTAGCAGAAAGAGAAATTAAGAAAACAATTCAATTTACAATGAAAACGAAAAGAATAAAATATTTATGAATAGGTTTAATTAAGGAGGTGAAAAACCTATACACTGAAAACTATCAGACACAGTTGAAAGAAACTGAAGAAGGCACAAATAAATGGCAAGACACTGCCTGCTCAGGGACTGAAAGAATTCACATTGTTAAAATGTCCATATTTCCAAAGCATGCTATAGAGTCAATGCAATCCTTATCGAGATCCCAGAAACATTTTTTTCACAGAAATAAGACAAAAAATTCTAAGATTTATATGTAACCATGAAAGACCCCAAATATCCAAAACAATCCTGAATGAAAAGAACAAAGCTGGAGATATCACATGCCTTGATTTCAAACTATATTACAAAACCACAGCAATCAAAACAGCATGGTAGTGGCAGAAAAAAACAGATACATAGATCAATGGAATAAAACTGAGAGCCCAGAAATAAACCCATACATGTATGGACAATTAATACAAAAGAAAGGAACAAGACACATCCAACAGAGAAAGGATAGTGTCTTAAATAAATGGCACTGGGGACGCTGTTGGGGACATTTTTTTGCTTCATGCAAAAAAATGAAAATAGACCACTACCTCACACCATACACAAGAATCAATTCAAAATGAATTGAAAACTTAAATAGACTCAAAACCATTAAACTAGAAGAAAACAGAGACGCGGCTCTCTTTGACATCAGTCTTAGCAATATCTTTCTAGATAGGTCTCCTCAGGCAAGGGAAACGAGCAAAAATAAACAGGGCTACATCAAACTAAAAAGCTTCTGCATGAAAAAATTTTAAAAAAAAATTTTTTTTAATTAAAAAAAAATAAAAAGCTTCTGCACAGCGAAAGAAACCATTCATAAAATGAAAAGATGATCTACCAAATGAGAGAAGATATTTAAAATGGTAAGGGGTTAATAACCAAAAACACACAACTAGATGAAAAACTGACCAAAGGCGCTAAATAGACATTTTCCCAAAGATGACATACAGATGGCCAATAAGCATAAGAAAAGATGTTACACATCACTGATTATTAGAGAAATGCAAGTCAAAACCATATGAGATACCACTTGACACATGTCGGAATAGCTATCATCAAAAAGTCTACAAACAGCAAATACTGGCAAAGATGCAGAGAAAAAGGAACTACGTATACTGTTGGGAATGTAAACTGATACGGCCACTGTCGAAAACAGGGAGGTAACTCAAAAAACTGAAACTAGACCCACCATCTGACCCAGCAATCCCACTTCTAACATTTATCCAAAGAATATGAAAACACTAATTGAAAAAAATATATGCACCCCTATGTTCACTCCAGCACTATTTATAACAGCCAAGATATGGAATCAACCTAAGTGCCCCTCAATAGATGAGTGGATAAAGAAGATGTGATACACACACAGAGATTACAGACTACTCAGCCATAAAAAAAAAGAAGAAATCAGAAATCTTGCCACTTGTGGAACACAGATGGACCTTGAGGGTATTATGCTAAGTGAAATAAGTCAGACAAAGACAAACACCACATGATTTCACTCATAGGTGTAATAGACAAAACCAAAATAAAATAAAATAAATGAACAAACCAAACAAAAACAAACATGCAGATGCAAAGAACAAAGTAGTAGTTAGCAGAGGGGATGGAGCCGGGGCAGGGTGAACTGGGTAAATGGGAACAAACTTGATGACAGATGGAAACTCAATATTTAGCAGTGACCACTCTGTAGATTATAAAAAAGTGAAAAATGTTGTACACATAAAACTTATACAATGTTATAAACCAATGTTACCTCAATAAAAGTTTTAATTGGGAAAGAAAAGACCCAGAAGGAAAATGAGTTAAACATGGGTAAGAATGGAAATCTGATGTCCAATTATAAAGTTATTATAGTATCTAGACAAATAGCTGGGACCAGAATGATGGTGGCAGAACAAAAGAAAGTAAATAGGTATGAGATACATATTGGGCAGTAAGATCAACAAGCTTTAAAGTGATAAAATGAGTTAGGAGAGAGAAATGTCAAGAAAAGACCCTCATTTAATATACCAAGGGTAAGACTAGCTATTATTATTATTATATTAACAAAACAATAAGAGTACTTTTATCTGGGTGGGAAGAATTTTAGGTGATATTTTCAGTTATTATTGCTATAGTTGTGACATCTGAAGCTAACCCTTGCCAGTCACCTGGTTTCTTTGCTTGGTTCTAACTTTGCTTCTTCTATACCAACAGCACTGAAAGCAGCAGGTGGTCACACTGCTACATGAAGGATCCTGATGTCATGCTGTGGGTATCTCTGCATTGAGATGAATAAAGCAACACTACAAATCCGACCAAGACCACCTCTCTGAATGGAGGATAAACTCTCAGACTTCAGTGTCAAAATCCTGGCCTCCTGCCATTTTATCTGTACTGAATTGATGAAAATTTTTTTTTAAATGTACCTAAATACTTTTAAAGGCTTAGGAAAATCCGACTGCTACTCTAAGTTCATCTTAATGATCTCTAACTTTGGGGCTGTGTAAAAAGGCAACATGATGAAGAGAAAAAAACCTGAGCATGAGCTTTAGAGATGGTTGGACCTGGCCTGAATACCAGTTCCAGCATTAACCAGGTGTATGACTGTGGGGAAACTATCCTTTTTCTGGGCCTCAATTATAGCTTCTGTGAAACAGAAGTAATAGTAACTATCCCACAGGTTTGTTATTTCATTTAAACTAGATGGAAAAGCATCTGGTAGAACGCCTCACACATTAGGCATTCATGAAACAGAAAAGTTGCCTGCAGTTTATTTCTAGTTATGATTTCACAATATACGAAGTAGTAAGGATCCAAAAAACTCCACAAATTTGACAAGTGGCTAGAATAAAGAATATGATCATTCAAATGATTACCACATTTCTTTATTAGAAAGTCTGTAGTGACTTCTAAAATACTATAACCAAGAGTAACCAACTGGAATTTACATACCATTGTCCCCTTCCATCAGGCTCATATCATTCAGATACACAATGTTGGTGAAGGCCTCTCTTCTTCTCTCCAGCTCCAAACAGAGAATAAGATATCCAGGCCAGAAACTTTAAAGAGACCAAAGTTGGTGAGAAGAACAAAAGGCAATGAATTTACATGGCATTCTGCTGTCCAACACGGTAATATTAGCCACGTGTGGCTATTTACATTTATTTATTTTTGGCTGTGCCATGAGGCATGTGGGATCTTAGTTTCCCAACGTGATGGTACCCATGCTCCCTGCACCTTGGAAACACAGTCTCATCCACTGGACTGCCAGGGAAGTCCCTATTTACATTTAAATTAAATAAAATTTAAAAGCCAGTTCTTCAGTTGACCAGTACATATTTCAAGGATTTAATGGCCACATGTGACTAGTGACTGCCATATTGGACAGCGTGATAAAATATTTTTAGAATACTTTCATTCCCTCACAAACTAGAGCACTTATGAAAAAACAAAAATTAAAGTTAGTGATAAATACTAATTCCCTGGTGGCTCAGACCATAAAGAATCTGCCTGCAATGCAGGAGACTTGGGTTTAATCCCTGGGTTGGGAAGAACCCCCAGGGGAGAAAATGGCAACCCATTCCAGTACTATTGCCTGGGAAATCCCAGTCAGAGGAGCCTGGTGGGCTATGGTCCATGGGATCACAAACAGTCAGACACAACTGAGCAACTAAGCATGCACTCAAGGCCAAGCCCCAACTATGGGACGTTTCAGCTCGTATACTTTATAAACTTTCAGGTTCAATACAAAACGAGCATATTTCTTCCCCAAACATGCACACTTTGGCAGTTCTCCTTGACCTTCCCCTTCCCTCATTTCCTATACCCAGCACCTATAGCTCACTGTGTGTTCCTTTGAAATGTCCCACTGGCTTTGCTCTTTCTGTTGCCCTGGAATCAACTCAGTCACACCTGAATTACTGCACCAGGTTCCTAGTTGGCCTTGATTTCTTGTCTCCAATCTTCCTCGCGTATAAAACTGGAAACCTTCATTTGTCATGCCATTTTTGTACCAAAAGGTTTAAAAGGGTCTATGTGGATCATAAATTCTTTTAACCACCTTTCAAGGTCCTATATGACCTAATGACCCACCACCTAGCCAGTCTCACCCCCCATTACCAATGAACAAATATGCATCAAGTGTCTACTACTTTCTGAATTATGCACCGAGGGAAAAGGAAGACGCATGCTCCTATCTCCAAAAGACTATAATCTAGGGGAAGCCAAAGATAACATGAGATAACACCTTTGGGCTATAAATAACTGACTAATAAGTGATACGGATAAAAAGCCATGTCAGTTTTCATGGCCTTGATCTTGCTGTTGATCTCAGCTGACCTGCCCTCTACCTGGCTCATTTTTAAATACAAACCCTCCCCATTCTTAGGACTTACCTCCAAGTCTCACCTCCTCCCTGAATCCTTCACCAGAAGTTCTACTGAGCCCATTCTGATCTCTCCCTTCCCAGAAACTGTATCAATTACAACTTGTGACACACAGCCTGGTACTTAATTAAATTACACCTAAGAACTGGAGTGACCGACTAAGCAGAAGGGGGAGAGAGGGACAAGCAAGGACCAGTCTCATGGACACACAAAATAAAATATGCTCAGAATTTAAAACAAAAAAAAGATGCTTACTATCACTTAAAACAAAAAAGCACTTCAGCCAAAAAAAAAAAAAAAAAATGACAATATACCTTCAATCCCTTAACTACAAAGTTATTAACTAAAATGACTCTAACCTTAACTTCAGCTTCTAGAAAAACTCTCACTTACCCATGAGACCTACAGATGTCAGTCATTTTCTCTTTTGTTGTAAAATCTGCAGGAAGTTTAATCAGATGAAGGATGAGCTGACTGTAACCCCAGGAAAACAAGTGGGAATGAGGCCTGAGAATTGAAAAAAATCAGTAAATTAGATAGGAAATAAACTCTATAAAAATGCTTATTCATCAGCTAATAGGTAAGGATAGAGTTTAATTCTATTTTTTCCATCATTATATTTTTCAAACATTTCTACTTGGCTTTCAAAACATTAAAATTGCTATTTTTCCTATGACAAATACCTGTATATTTTTTTAAATTATACATTTTAGAAATCAAAAGAAAATTCAAAATTCTATCATTCACAGAGAGCCATTTTATATCTTTTCAGGCCTTTTTTCTAGGCATGTAAGATAGGCATTTTGGGAACTTTTAAAGTTTCTTTAGGAAGAAAACATAAGGAATATATCTGATACATTACAAGCATCATTGTGTATTTTTTATGAATTTTGGCTTTTTTAAATACCTTATTCAAGACTCTATATTGTATTTAGTTGCACTGAACAGCTTCAGCTGCATGCAACAAATTCTGATAAATTCTCTTCATTTTTGTTGTTACAAATGTTTTCTAATTTTCCTTGTTACAGATTCTCAGATACACCCATCATTCCAAAGTGAACATTTAATTTCCACATACATGGGGCTTTTGAAGTATCCTTAATATTAATTTCTCATTTTTATATTAATTTCTCATTTTTATATTAATTTCTCATTTTTATATTAATTTCTCATTAAATGCTTCTCCTCTGCAACCACCATCTATGTCTTTTCTGTCTTTTAACTTTATTAAGGCTTTCAATGGCTGAGTCAAAAATCTCTCTCGATAAATGTCATATTGCACTTGAAAATACATGAGTTATTTTCAAATATATTTTGATATTATTTCTAACATAATTTCACAGTGATAAGAGAACAGACTTTATGATTGCAATACCTTTAGACCACGAAATTTTTGCTCCTTGTTTTATGTCCCTGAATATGTTCCAGTGTCTCCTGGTTTATAACCTTTGGGAACTTGAATAGAATTTGTGCCCTGCTGTTGTGTGAAAATTATATAAATCTTAACTATGCTAAATTGGTTCATAGTGCTTTTCAGGTCTACTAAATCCTTCTACTTTTCTAGTCATTCTATTAATTATTCCAAGTTTGATATTGATATTCCAACTAAAAAATAACTGTAACATACAGTGGAACTATATGTAACTTTATTCTGTATTTTCCAAGTCTCCTATAAAGGTGTTATCATACTTTCACAATTTAAAAAAGAAAAAAAATTCCTAGATTATGTATTGTCTAGAAATCCCTTGGCAAATTTCTAGGAAGAAAACACACAAACAAATACGCACACACTTTTCCCTCTAACACAGGTTTAATCACCAAGAGTTCTGAATGTTGGTCCATAAGAGAGTTTCAGAGGTCAAGTTTAATTTTCTGAAATCATGTGCAAAATTCTCCATGAATGTGTATTTTTCCGACAGGAATCATCAGATTCTCAGAGGGTCTGTGATTCAAACAAATGTTCAGAACTACTAGGCAGTACACTCAATCTGATTACTAACATGATTTGGGTAACTCTCTTCCACAGCTGTTCCTAAAGTAAGCCCAGAATGCTCTATGTGAATAAACTAGTTCCATTCCAAAGGAGCAGCCAAGCTTAGAAATGACTCCTTTATACCTGGGGTTTCCTTCATTATCCATAGTGCTGGTGCTTGGGGGAGCATCATGGGACACAGCCAACAGCAGCCAATCCAACCTTAAAGACTCTGGCTGTAGAAGGGACTCAAGGAAGGATGGCCTAAGAGAAAGTTGGAGAGAAAAATCACCAATGTTCATGTTGAGAAAGGAAAAATAAAATGTGCAGATATAAAGAAAACATTATTAAGGGATCAATATAGTGGACGAAACAACTTGAAAAACCTTCTGCTACAAGATGTATAGAAATGCTGCTGAAAATCTAATAGCCTTTTAAATGAACAGTTGAGCCTCAAGATAACACCAAAGAGCCAAAAGAAAAAAAGAAAGAAAGAAATACCAGAGGAACTAAGTAAAGATGGCGGAGGAATAGGACGGGGAGACCACTTTCTCTCCTACAAATTCATCGAAAGAACATTTGAATGCTGAGCAAATTGCACAAAACAACTTCTGATCGCTAGCAGAGGACATCAGGCGCCCAGAAAAGCAGCCCATTGTCTTCGAAGGGAGGTAGGACAAAATATAAAAGATAAAAAGGGAGTCAAAAGAGCTACAGACGGAGACCCGTCCCGGGAAGGGAGTCTTAATAGAGGAAGTTTCCAATCACCAGGAAACCCTCGCACTGGCGGGACTGGGGGAAGTTTTCGGCAATCTAACTGGGAGGAAAAATTAAACAAGGCCCACAGATTACGTGCCTAAAAGCAACTCCCAGCAGAAAAGTACCCCAGACGCCCGTACCCGCCAGCAACAAGCGGGGGCGGGACGGAGAGGAGCGGGCGGCATTGCTTAGGGCCCGAACACACTGCCGGCGGTTCGCAAAACAAAGGGACTGAGAAAGTCCAGAGAAGAGCCGGCCCATCCCCGCTGGAGGTTGGAGGCAGGAGGTAGGGGAAAAGGGCAAACTCAGCCCCTGAGAAGCCACCCCCTCCCACACTGCAAACAGGCCCCCGGTTCCTATCTAAAGACTTCCTGAGACCCGACTGGCGGGGCGCGCTGGGGCCGCGGAGGGAAAAAGCGCACCGTACCCGGGGAGAGTGCGCCCAAGCCTCTGGCTGCCTGGGCCGCTCGCCGCGGAGGGAAAAGGCGCGCCACCTCCGGGGAGAGTGCGCCCAAGCCTCTGGCTGCCTGGGCCCCTCGACGCGGAGGAAAAAGGCGTGCCATACCCAGGGAGAGTACGCCCAAGCCTCTGGCTGCCTGAACCGCTCAGGCCGGGGAAGGCACAAAACGCAGGCGCAACCGAATCTGCGTTTTTGTGGAGTACCCGAAAACTGGAACCGAACTCAACGCAGGGCCCGCTCCATATAGAGCAGCCGGGAGCCTGAGCAGTGTAGACGGCAAAAGCACTGACACCCGTGAGCGGGGCAAACCCAGTGTGACCGGAACGCGGTGAGTGCTATCCACACAGAGCGGTATCTGTCTGCAGCGCCCCGCCCTCCCCGTAGCAGGACTGAACTGAACTAGAGAACCTAAATAAGAGATCACCTCCACCCGCCTGTGTCAGGGCGGAAATTAGACACCAAAGAGACGGAAAACAGAAGCCAAATAAACAAAGGGAACCGCTTCAGAAAGGACTGGTGCAACAGATTAAAATCCCTGAAGGTAACACCGACTACACCAGAAGGGGCCTACAGATATCGAGAAGTGTAAGCTGGAAAGAGGAGCTATCTGAAATTGAACTGAACCTACGCTGACTGCAACAACTCCAGAGAAATTCCTAGATATATATATATATTTTTTTTTAATTTTAAAAAAAAATTTTTTTTCTATCCTTTTTTATTTTTTTTAATTTTTTTTCTTTTATTTTCTTTTAAAATTCCCTATTACTCCCCCATTACTCCTCAACTTTCATTTTCATATATTTTTACGATTTTTTTAATTAGGGAAAAAAAAAAATTTTTTTTTCTTTCTTTTTCTTGTTTTTCTCTCCTATTTCCTTTTAAAGTCCTCTAATACTCCTCTATTATTCCTTAATTTTCATTTTCATTTCACTATAACCTTGCCAAAAAAAAAAAGAGAGAAAAACCCTATTTTTAAATCAAACTTCATATACATTTCTAAATTTTTTTGTGTGTTTTTGTTTTTAAATATTGTATTTCAAAGAGTCTAACCTCTACACTAGATTTTTAATCTTTGTTTTTCAGTAGTATGTGATATAAATTTTGGTCATTTAAGAATCCAATATTCAGTTCCCATTTCTATTCAGGAGTGTGGTGATTACTCTCCCACTTTTGACTCTGTTTTCTACCTCGGAACACCTCTATTTCCTCCTTTCCCCTTCTCTTCCCAATCCAACTCTGTGAATCTTTGTGGGTGTCTGGGCTACGGAGAACACTTTGGGAACAGACAACTGCGTAGATCTGTCTCTCTCCTCTTGAGTCCCCTTTTTCTCCTGCTGATCACCTCTATCTCCTTCCTCCCTCTCCTATTCTTCATGTAACTCTGTGAACCTCTCTGGTTGTCTCTCACGGTGGAGAATCTTTTCACCATTAACCTAGAAGTTTTATTATCAGTGCTGTATAGTTGGAGAAGTCTTGAGACTATTGGAAGAACAAAACTGAAATCCAGAGGCAGGAGACTTAAGCCCAAATCTTGAGAAAACCAGAAAACTCCTGACTACACGGAACATTAAGGAATAAGAGACCATCCAAAAGCTTCCATACCTACACCAAAACCAACCACCACCCAAGAGCCAATAAGCTCCAGTACAAGACATACCACGCAAATTCTTTAGCAACGCAGAAACATAGACCTGAGTGTCAACATACAGGCTCTCCAAAGTCACACCTAACACATAGATCCATCGCAAAACTCATTACTGGACACTCCATTGCACTCCAGAGAGAAGAAATCCAATTCCACGCACCAGAACGCTGACACAAGCTTCCCTAACCAGGAAACCTTGACAAACCAATCGTCCAACCCCACCCACTGGGTGAAACCTCCACAATAAAAAGGAACCACAGACCACAAGAATACAGAAAGCCCACTCCAGACACAGCAATCTAAACAAGATGAAAAGGCAGAGAAATACCCAACAGCTAAAGGAACATGAAAAAAGCCCACCAAGTCAAACAAAAGAGGAGGAAATAGGGAATCTACCAGAAAAAGAATTTAGAATAATGATAATAAAAATGATCCAAAATCTTGAAAACAAAATGGAGTTACAAATAAATAGCCTGGAGATAAAGATTGAGAAGATGCAAGAAATGTTTAATAAGGACCTAGAAGAAATAAAAAAAAGTCAATTAAAAATTAATAATGAAATAAATGAGATCAAAAACACTCTGGAGGGAACCATGAGTAGAATAACAGAGACAGAAGATAGGATAAGTGAGTTAGAAGATAAAATGGTGGAAATAAATGAAGCAGAGAGGAAAAAAGAAAAAAGAATCAAAAGAAATGAGGACAACCTCAGGGACCTCTGGGACAATGTGAAACGCCCCAACATTCGAATCATAGGAGTCCCAGAAGAAGAAGACAAAAAGAAAGGCCATGAGAAGATACTCGAGGAGATAATAGCTGAAAACTTCCCTAAAATGGGGAAGGAAATAGCCACCCAAGTCCAAGAAACCCAGAGAGTCCCAAACAGGATAAACCCAAGGCGAAACACCCCAAGACACATATTAATCAAATTAACAAAGATCAAACACAAAGAACAAATATTAAAAGCACCAAGGGAGAAACAACAAATAACACACAAAGGGATTCCCATAAGGATAACAGCTGATCTATCAATAGAAACCCTTCAGGCCAGAAGGGAATGGCAGGACATACTTAGAGTAATGAAAGAGAATAACCTACAACCTAGATTACTCTACCCAGCAAGGATCTCATTCAGATATGAAGGAGAACTCAAAAGCTTTACAGACAAGCAAAAGCTGAGAGAATTCAGCACCACCAAACCAGCTCTTCAACAAATATTAAAGGATCTTCTCTAGACAGGAAACACAGAAAGGTGGTATAAACATGAACCCCAAACAACAAAATAAATGGCAACGGGACCATACCTATCAATAATTACCTTAAATGTAAATGGGTTGAATGCCCCAACCAAAAGGCAAAGGCTGGCTGAATGGATACAAAAGCAAGACCCCTATATATGCTGTCTACAAGAGACCCACCTCAAAGCAAGGGACACATACAGACTAAAAGTGAAGGGCTGGAAAAAAATATTCCACACAAACGGAGACCAAAAGAAAGCAGGAGTCGCAATACTCATATCAGATAAAATAGACTTTCAAATAAAGACTGTGAAAAGAGACAAAGATGGACACTACATAATGATCAAAGGATCAATCCAAGAAGAAGATATAACAATTATAAATATATATGCACCCAACATAGGAGCACCGCAATATGTAAGGCAAACGCTAACGAGTATGAAAGAGGAAATTAATAGTAACACAATAATAGTAGGAGACTTTAATACCCCACTCACAACTATGGATAGATCAACTAAACAGAAAATGAACAAGGAAGCACAAACTTTAAAGGACACAATGGACCAGCTAGACCTAATTGACATCTATAGGACGTTTCACCCCAAAACAATCAACTTCACCTTTTTCTCAAGTACACACGGAACCTTCTCCAGAATAGATCACATCCTGGGCCATAAATCTAGTCTTGGTAAATTCAAAAAGATTGAAATCATTCCAGTCATCTTTTCTGACCACAGTGCAGTAAGATTAGATCTCAATTACAGGAAAAAAATTATTAAAAATTCAAACATATGGAGGCTAAACAACACGCTTCTGAATAACCAACAAATCATAGAAGAAATCAAAAAAGAAATCAAAATATGCATAGAAATGAATGAAAATGAAAACACAACAACCCAAAACCTATGGGACACTGTAAAGGCAGTGCTAAGGGGAAGATTCATAGCATTACAGGCCTATCTCAAGAAACAAGAAAAAAGTCAAATAAATAACCTAACTCTACACCTAAAGCAACTAGAGGAGGAAGAAATGAAGAACCCCAGGGTTAGTAGAAGGAAAGAAATCTTAAAAATCAGGGCAGAAATAAATGCAAAAGAAACTAAAGAGAGCATAGCAAAAATTAACAAAGCTAAAAGCTGGTTTTTTGAAAAAATAAACAAAATTGACAAACCATTAGCAAGACTCATTAAGAAACAAAAAGGGAGAAGAACCAAATTAACAAAATTAGAAACGAAAATGGAGAGATCACAACAGACAACACTGAAATACAAAGGATCATAAGAGACTACTACCAGCAGCTCTATGCCAATAAAATGGACAACTTGGAAGAAATGGACAAGTTCTTAGAGAAGTATAACTTTCCAAAACTGAACCAGGAAGAAATAGAAGATCTTAACAAACCCATCACAAGCAAGGAAATCGAAACTGTAATCAGAAACCTTCCAGCAAACAAAAGCCCAGGACCAGATGGCTTCACAGCTGAATTCTACCAAAAATTTAGAGAAGAGCTAACACCTATCTTACTCAAACTCTTCCAGAAAATTGCAGAAGAAGGTAAACTTCCAAACTCATTCTATGAGGCCACCATCACCCTAATTCCAAAACCAGACAAAGATGCCACAAAAAAAGAAAACTACAGGCCAATATCACTGATGAACATAGATGCAAAAATCCTTAACAAAATTCTAGCAAACAGAATCCAACAACATATTAAAAAAATCATACATCATGACCAAGTGGGCTTTATCCCAGGAATGCAAGGATTCTTTAATATCCACATATCAATCAATGTAATACACCACATTAACAAATTGAAAGATAAAAACCATATGATTATCTCAATAGATGCAGAAAAAGCCTTTGACAAAATTCAACATCCATTTATGATTAAAACTCTCCAGAAAGCAGGAATAGAAGGAACATACCTCAACATAATAAAAGCTATATATGACAAACCCACAGCAAGCATCACCCTCAATGGTGAAAAACTGAAAGCATTTCCCCTGAAATCAGGAACAAGACAAGGGTGCCCACTCTCACCACTACTATTCAACATAGTTTTGGAAGTTTTGGCCACAGCAATCAGAGCAGAAAAAGAAGTAAAAGGAATCCAGATAGGAAAAGAAGAAGTGAAACTCTCGCTGTTTGCAGATGACATGATCCTCTACATAGAAAATCCTAAAGACTCTACCAGAAAATTACTAGAGCTAATCAACGAATACAGTAAAGTTGCAGGATATAAAATTAACACACAGAAATCTCTTGCATTCCTATACACTAACAATGAGAAAACAGAAAGAGAAATTAAGGAAACAATACCATTCACCATTGCAACAAAAAGAATAAAATACTTAGGAGTATATCTACCTAAAGAAACAAAAGACCTATACATAGAAAACTATAAATCACTGATGAAAGAAATCAAAGAGGACACAAACAGATGGAGAAATATACCGTGTTCATGGATTGGAAGAATCAATATTGTCAAAATGGCTATACTACCCAAAGCAATCTACAGATTCAATGCAATCCCTATCAAACTACCAACGGTATTTTTCACAGAACTAGAACGAATAATTTCACAATTTGTATGGAAATACAAAAAACCTCGAATAGCCAAAGTAATCCTGAGAAAGAAGAATGGAACTGGAGGAATCAATCTGCCTGACTTCAGACTATACTACAAAGCCACAGTCATCAAGACAGTATGGTACTGGCACAAAGACAGAAATATAGATCAATGGAACAGAATAGAAAGCCCAGAGATAAATCCACGAACCTATGGTCACCTTATCTTTGACAAAGGAGGCAAGGATATACAATGGAAAAAAGACAACCTCTTTAACAAGTGGTGCTGGGAAAACTGGTCAACCACCTGTAAAAGAATGAAACTAGAACACTTTCTAACACCATACACAAAAATAAACTCAAGATGGATTAAAGATCTAAATGTAAGACCAGAAACTATAAAACTCCTAGAGGAGAACATAGGCAAAACACTCTCCGACATAAATCACAGCAGGATCCTCTATGACCCACATCCCAGAATTTTAGAAATAAAAGCAAAAATAAACAAATGGGACCTAATGAAACTTAAAAGCTTTTGCACAACAAAGGAAACTATAAGCAAGGTGAAAAGACAGCCCTCAGACTGGGAGAAAATAATAGCAAACGAAGCAACAGACAAAGGATTAATCTCAAAAATATACAAGCAACTCCTCCAGCTCAACTCCAGAAAAATAAATGACCCAATCAAAAAATGGGCCAAAGAACTGAACAGACATTTCTCCAAGGAAGACATACAGATGGCTAACAAACACATGAAAAGATGCTCAACATCACTCATTATCAGAGAAATGCAAATCAAAACCACAATGAGGTACCATTACACACCAGTCAGGATGGCTGCTATCCAAAAGTCTACAAGCAATAAATGCTGGAGAGGGTGTGGAGAAAAGGGAACCCTCTTACACTGTTGGTGGGAATGCAAATTAGTACAGCCACTATGGAAAACAGTGTGGAGATTTCTTAAAAAGCTGGAAATAGAACTGCCATATGACCCAGCAATCCCACTTCTGGGCATACACACCGAGGAAACCAGATCTGAAAGAGACACGTGTACCCCAATGTTCATCGCAGCACTGTTTATAATAGCCAGGACATGGAAGCAATCTAGATGCCCATCAGCAGACCAATGGATGAGGAAGCTGTGGTACATATACACCATGGAATATTACTCAGCCATTAAAAAGAATTCATTTGAATCAGTTCTAATGAGATGGATGAAACTGGAGCCCATTATACAGAGCGAAGTAAGCCAGAAAGATAAAGACCATTACAGTATACTAACACATATATATGGAATTTAGAAAGATGGTAACGATAACCCTATGTGCAAAACAGAAAAAGAGACTCCTATGTATAGAACAGACTTGTGGACTCTGGGAGAAGGCGAGGGTGGGATGTTTCAAGAGAACAGCATTGAAACACATATATTATCTAGGGTGAAACAGTTCACCAGCCCAGGTTGGGTGCATGAGACAAGTGCTCGGGCCTGGTGCACTGGGAAGACCCAGAGGGATTGGGTGGAGAGGGAGGTGGGAGGGGGGACCGGGATGGGGAATACATGTAAAAAAAAAAAAAAAAAAAAAGATACACTATGGTTGTGATAAAAAATAAATAAATAAATAAATAAATAAATAAATAAAAATTTAAAAAAAAAAGAAATACCAGTATATCAAATGTGAGCCAATCAGAAAGGGGGAGGGGAAAGTTGCTGTTCTCATAATCTGGGGACATGTGTGTTTACTACCACGGAAAGATAGGAAAAGAGGCCTCAGTCCAAAGAGGCTAAGAGAGCTGGAACTGACAGTTACCCACAGAAAGCTGGGATATCATCACAAAAAGGTAGCAGAAAATCCACTCACTGGCAGGGAAAACAAGGAAGTTTATCAGTCTTAGCCTAGGCCCTGAAGCAGGAGTTTAATTTCACACTGTTGATCTGAGAATCTCTGAGGGAGAGGCAGGAAAGAGAAGTGTGGTTAGGTACACATTTGTGATGTGTACTGTGAATCGTGAAAGAGTGGCACATGACTGCCAAAATCCCTCTTCTACAGCAAGTACCTCAATTCCGCGGCAATTAATAGTAAAAATGTTTCAACTGATTATATGAGAGAAACAATACTCTATCAAGAGAAAGTGAAAGTCACTCAGTCCTGTCCGACTCTTTGCGAACCCATGGACTATATAGTCCATGGAATTCTCCAGGCCAGAATGCTGGAGTGGGTAGCCGTTCCCTTCTCCAGGGGATCTTCTCAAACCAGGGATCAAACTCAGGTCTCCCACATCGCAGGTGGATTCTTTACCAGCTGAGCCACAAGGGAAAGGAAAGTCTTTAAAAAAAGAGAGAGAGAGTCTGCAAATATTCTTTCCTTCTCACCGTTGATCTTCGGGCCTTGATTTCACCAGACTGTCTAAATAGGCCAAAAACTGAACAGGATTATGATGACAAAGTTGCATGACATCTGAAGGCAAAATGGATGGGTAAAACCTGATTAAGGATCGAAGGGCTGATTCTCCAAATTTCTCATACAATCTGCATTTAAAAACAAAACACGTTAGTCTCCAACTTCAGTAAGATAATATAACTTGGTTACATTATCTACATATTTATTAGAAATGAAAATAAATATACTAACAAGAAGCTGCTCAACATGTGATAGAGGAAAACTTTAGAGACTAAGACCAAGAAAATGCCTGGGCTTTAATGCATATGAACAATATATAGGACCACTCACCGGGTAGCATATGCAATCAACAAAGGACTGTCAAAAGGAACCAAGTCCTCCAATAACTTTAATCTTGTTGGAAGGTCTCCTTCTTCCATCTTTATATGTGTAGGACTGGAACTCACCATTTCTAAAAGACAAAGCACACCCTTTTCCCTTCATCTCATAGCTGAAAAAACTTAATTAACGAACACGTTAATCAACAATCACTAGTCATCTACCTACTGTGTGCAAGTCCCAACAACATTTGTAAAGCATCACAGGAGAGACAAAAAAAGACAAAAGAGACAATCTCTGCCTTTAAGAACCTGAAAATCAAACTGGGAGACAAAGCATATTCAATAAGACAAAGGAACAGATAACCAATATGTAAGTGACTATTACTATTGAAAAAGGCTTCTTTTTATATGTGTTATCCATATTACATATATAAGCTATATATATATATATAGTATATATATAGTACATATACATAGTACATAAGTACCATTAATGCCAAATTCCGTAGTTTTTTTTCTAGAACTGGTATCCCTAATCCATCTTTTGGAACGTCTGTCCTGGGTGGATATATTAGCAAGAAATAAACTATTCTATCTGCATTACTATGAAGTATCACAGCACTTGAGCCTACTCAGCTATTATGATCTCTCTCTGCCTTACTTTCCTCACCTACTAAAGATCCACTCCAAGTGTTGGAAGGAGGAAATAAAACGATGCCAGAAAAGGGTTTAGTGTTATTATCTAGCACATGAAGTATTTAATAAACAGGACATACGATCTATCAGTAAGTTACATTAGGGATTTTCTGGTTTTCACACATCAGCATTTATGAAATTTTGCTTAAATCCAACTTCTCCAACACTGCTATATCATTTTCTCAATGATTGTGAGAAAAATAAAACCAATTTCTTATAATAGCTGCAAAAACTATTAAAAACTAAATTGAGTTGTAAGTCAATTTCTTAAAAAAGGGAACAATCTCAACAGAAAACAAAATTGAGTAGAAAACTAAACAGATGGTTGACCAGAACAGAGATGATTTTCTACTTAAATATTTTTCTTTAACTTAAAAATGTCAACATGCTATTGACCTCTACACAAATTTTATCTTTAGTAAGGCAATCTGATTTATTACCTTTCAATCCTTCAATAAAAGTATCCCAAACACGAGGACTTTCAGGGTAACTCAGCTTGATGCTCTCCTTTGCTCTTTTCAAGTCCAGCAGAAAAAAGTACTTCTTTAGGAACTGACAAGTCAGCATTTCAAGAGAGCACTGTTGCAAAGTGTGGTCACCATGTCCACTCGCACTTTTCACCTCAGAATGCAATACACTCAGTTCCAAACACAATGTTGTCAATTCAGCCAGATCCTTCTGAAGACTGTCTGCTATACTCCAAGGAGAACATACTTGAAAAAGGTCACCATCCAAGGGCTCCCTCAGACTATTTACAGATTCACATGCTGTTTGATCAATAGTTTCTTCATTGCCTAAAGAGTCCCTTTCTTCTTTTTCATATTCTTCATCTAACATTCCCTTTTTTGACTCATCAAGCAATAGCATATCCTGGTTTGATTCCACGGATGAGCTGCCCGTATCTGAAATGCCTGAAAAGTCCTTCATGGCAAATGTCTTTTCTAACTGTGAAAGCCACTCCCGTAAAACCATTCTCAGGGACTTCGGTTCAAACAAAACCAGTGGGTCCTGTAGCTTGGTCCTATACAAGACAGACAAGTATGAAACTTATGTTTTATGTGGTTTTCTTTTTTTTTTTTTTAAGTGGTTTTCCAAAAACAAATTGTTTCATGTTAAATAAGCCTAACAGAGACAACATTACTTATCTGAATAAATGTCACTTGTCAATGTATTTTTTTTCAACTCTTTAAATAAAAATGATCTTGGTATAAAGACAACACAGAAAATATTAACTTAGTACTAATTCTTGAATTTCAATTCCCAGTGAAGGTACCTCTGCCCCATACTATCTCAGGACCATTACTTATGATTTCAAAAAGTCATTTTCACTTACTATAAAACTTCATTCATAAATACTCACATTGCTTCTGCTGTTGCCATTTTGAGCTCTTGGAACTTGTCCTCTTCTGGAGAATGACTAGTTATTTCTTCTTTTCCTCTAGAAAAGTATGAAAAAAGTTACAGGGGATTAGAGCTTCCTTGGGTAAATACTGCTAAGTGCTCACTAAATGGTATCTATTGTACTTAATGTTACACGAAGCAAACAGACAAGCATAAAAAAAATGGTCCATGGCTTCAAGATGAGTAAGCTCAAGTCAGAAAGAAAGGCATGAAAAAAACTCTATTATAAAAGAGAACAAAATAAATGCTAAAGAGCAGAGTAAGCACTGTGCTCTGGGCACAGAAAAAGCAACAATTACTCTGACTAAGCAATCAAGAGGGCTTCCCAGGTGGGGCTAGTGGTAAAGAACTGCCACTGCAGAAGGCATAAGAGACACGGGTTCAATTCCTGGGTCAGGAAGATCCCCTGGAGAAAGGCATGCAACCCACTCTAGTATTCTTGCCTGGAGAATCCCATGGACAGAGGATCGTGGCAGGCTACAGCCCATGGGGTCACAAAGAGTCAGACACAACTGAGCGACTTAGCACAGCACACAGGCAATCAAGAGAAGCTTCCCCGAAGAGGCAGCATTTGCCTTAGGAAACAAGGGGAGAAAATACTGCAGGGGGGAGAAACGACATGAAGAAAAGCAGTGAGGTGTACACACCCAGTTCTCTGATAGGACCAGAATCTCAAGTGCTTAGAAGGACATGGCTAGAAATGAGGCTAGAAAGGTGGGCTCAGGTCAGACTGAGGGCTGCCTGTGGCATACAAATGCCACAGCACTATCTGTACTTTTTCCCGATATTTATATATATGGTTTCATAACTAAGTTACTCTAAGGGTATCACTCTATATCTTATTTTATAAAAAACAGACACAGGCCCCATGGGTCTCTCCCAGTTCCTGGTGATGCTGAACTTGTGTACTTCCAATGCCCAGATCCCCTGAACTATGAGAAAAGCCAGAGAAAAGATAAGATACACTGTGCCAGTCCAAGAGCTCTGCTGCAACTCCACAACACAAGGACTATGCCACCAGCACATCACTGGAAGTTACACGACGACATCAACGCCAAAGCTCTCGTCTTACAGGCCAGAGGGCATCACTCACCCACATCACTGTGCTAGTCAGAAGCAGAATCGGAACAAGGCCTAGATCCTTGGTCATCCTATCCTAATACTCCTTTGTTAACACCCTAGACGTTTGAAGAGACTTGGAGGTGAGGGAAGTTGTTCAGCGGAAAAATAGAAGAGGCGCTCAATTAAAATTCTATCTCAGGAATTCTTTCCTAGCAGTCCAGTGGTTAGGACTCTGTGCTTCCACTGCAGGGGACATGGGTTTGATATCTGGTCAAGGAACTTAAGATCCTGCATGCCGCACGGCACGGCCACACACAAAAAAAAATCTGTCTCAACAGACTTGCTCTTGGTTGATGTAATTTTCCAATACTCACTTTGCAGTATTTACAACTTTTATAAGCTACACAATCTACAATGACGAGAGTTACTGTGTGCCGCCTTCTTTAAAAAAAATGTACTTTGTGGTTCTCTTCAAACTGACAACTATGTCCTCTAGAATTTACAGACTTCTCGGCAACAACTTACTCAGTGTCTTCCTCCTTTGGGCAAGTGACTGTACTCATATCCTTGTCACAGGACGTCTCATCACCCCGAGGTTCTTGTCTCACTTTCAGATCAGGGCTTGTGTGAAGGGTGCCAATCTTCTCAGTAGTCTTCCGCACAAAGCTGGAGACACTGGAAGTCAAATACCAATAAACTAGCATGAGAAAGGTCTCATTACTGCCAAGAAGGAAAATTTCAGGGCACGAGTTCTCTAGGTTCCTATTAGTCTCTGAAGGGAACTGGGACTTACTAACAAGACTGTCTATTGTAACTTCCCTAATCAAACTACATATTTCACATAAGGCCCACATAGATTTTATAATATAAAAAGGATGTACATCATCTACCAAACTACTTTGATTCAGCCCTAAAGAAAAGGTCTTTAATTCCAGCTGTGCCTGCATTGTTTCTGCATGTGATCATCCTAGTCATAGAATTTCTTCATGAAACTCAGCTGCTAACTTGTCACATTGATCCTTCTTGGAAAGCAAATATGTATCCAGTACAACTCAGATTAGCAGCCCTGGCACAAAGTCTTTCATGGTCAATCCCAGGCCCACAGAGTAGTTAGGAAGATTTCTGAGGAGTCTCCAACTCTGAGCCCAAACTGAGAAATGATTAAGAAATGACTAATGCTATGTGGAAACTTTTCCTATCAGGGATGAGGGCAAAAAAAGATTTTTAAACTTTTGCTCAGTCTGAGAGGGAGGGTGGGGGTGGGAAACACATTTGTAATAACTCAAATATCCAGCTACTCTAATAATCTTGAGGGTAGTTAAATTCCCCAAAATGGAAATGAGAAGTTAACAACTTCATATAACAGGCTATATGAGGAATAACCTAGTGACTTCCTTTTAAGTCATTTTAAATGTCTTTTTATACTCAGCACAGACATGCCTAATATGACAACAGAAGTAAAACCAGAAATAGGATTAAACGACAAGACTAACGAGCTTACCTTTCCCTGACAGCCTGAAGAGACACAAGAGGAGATGGAGAACGAAATGATAACGGAATGCCGAAGGGGAGAAAAGTTTCACTTTTATCCGTCTCAAACGTCACTGATGCGTGAGAAACATTGTCTGGATGAATGGAATCAGGGAAAAGAAACAAAATCTCATCACATGAAGAGTTTTTTAATCTTTAAAGAAATTCTGAAATGAATAAACCAAAGGAAATAAAAGATTCAATACCAAAATCACAACTGACCCAAATACAAATGAGTGGAACACAGGTTTACAAGATGCCCAAGATGGTCCACATATAAAACACTTAGACAGGTACCTTAGTTTTTCCTACTAACCCTGAATCCCCATAGTCATAAAGGAAGGTTAGAGTCTCTATTACTCTCTTCTCAAGAGTTCGGCCACAGGAATACTTGAACATCGAAAAGTGAAGGCAATGACCCCCAAAACTGTAGTAATTTTTCATTCCTAATGAAAAATAATTTGGTTAGTCAGGATAAAATTGTTCCACTCTTTTGGTTAATGACTTCCTCTCTTAGCCTTTCCCGCACTTTAATACAAGATCAAAATTAGGAACTTTACCAAATTTAGTTAGCTTAAACATGAGAAGGAAAAATTCCAAATAAACATCAACCCATTCCTCTAATGGTGAAGAGATCAATAAGTCTGGATGGAAAGTCTAACAACTTAATAAAAATTATTAACACCTTGTAGAAGAAAAAAAAAGAAGCCACAGAAAATAACTGTTTCACATAAGCAATCAATAAAAACACTTTCCTTTCCTCACCTTCACTTCCCTGGGAGCCACAGCAATGATCTGGTTGGTCCTCTTCTTGATGTGAGGCGAACTCTTTAAGTCTCTCATCTTCTGAGAGCGTTTGGCTGTGAAGGGAACAAGAGTCCTCATCTGACTGACTGCCTTTTCTACTATTAATGATACGATAAATACCAGAGTCCAAGATGCTGAAACTTTCCTAAAAAGAAAAAGAATTAAAGAAAAACTAAAATGTTTATAACACGATATAGCTCTTTTAAGGAAAAAGTCAACACTAAAAGAAACAAGTCATTAATGACAATTATGGCTTATTAGAACAAAACAGTGAGCAAGGTCTAGGCATCTGGCAGCCAGGTCCCTCTCACGTGCCTGTGGCATCCTGAGACCAGATTTCTCTAGCCGGACTCCACGAAGCCTGGCAGTGAGAAGAGGATTAAACGAGACAATCCTGAGCTACCCTGAGGCTCAAGCTAACATGAAGCATCTGAAACCACAGTAGGGCAATTTAACTTGTCCTGAAGGCTACATAATGTACATTTTCAAACAAGATATAATAAACAATGACAAAACAAAACGCAGCTCTAAGACACACATAAAGAAGTGCTTCAGAGGGCTATCCAAGAGCTGAAAGCAAGCCCCTCTTGACACCCGCCACCTCCCCTCCAGTATAAACAGTGGAAAGAAGCTAAGTTTTGGGATCCTGGAAGTTAAGTGAGGACAACCTAATGGAGAACATCTCACTGTACAGCAAAACCCTTTGAAAAGTGCGAATACCTACATGTGATGAAATGGAGCTTCTTCTACTGCTACACGCTGAATCCAAAGGTTCCAATTTTAAAATCAACTCTTCCAGTTGGGAAATTAGATCACCATAGGTTGTTAAGTCCAGCTGAGATTTCAAGTGTTCCAATTTATCTACAGTTAAAGTTTTTCTTCCCTAATAAAAATGACAAGTAGAAATCCAATAGGAGAGCTTTCCATTTGGAACTAATTTCATCTTCAAATTGCCATTACATTGACAGAGGCCTAACATAGAACATAAAACCTCAAAGGTGCTTTAAAAGGGCTTTAAAAGCTAGTGAAAGACTTAATGGGAATTTTCTTAGGAATTAAACATTTAATTAAGAGTTACTGCACACATAATAATTTCACTTAAAACAAGGCTTGAAACTAAAATAAATTTGTGGGTAAATTTTATTTTGGGGCTTCCCTGATGGCTCAGATAGTGAAGAACCTGCCTGTAAGGTGGAAGACCCAGGTTTGATCCCTGGATCGGGAAGATCCCCTGGAAAAGGGAATGACTACCCACTCCAGTATTCTTGCCTGGAGAATTCCATGGACAGAGGAGCCTGGAGAGCTACAGTCCATGGGGTCACAAAGAGTAGGACATCAGTAAGTGACTAACACACACAGGTACAGTTTTTCTCACCCCCACTCCCCATTCCAGACTTATAGGTCATGCTTCCTTCGGGGATTTATCACTGCTTAATCTGCAAGCTAATGTGCTATTCACAGTTGCTCAGTTGTGTCCAGCTCTTTGCAACCCTATGGACTGTAGCCCACCAGGCTCCTCTGTCCATGGGATTTTCCAGGCAAGAATACTGGAGTGGGTTGTCATGCCCTCCTCCAGGGGCTCTTCCCCACCCAGGGGTCAAACTCACATCTCCTGCATTGGCAGACGGATTCTTTGCCCCTCAGCCACCTGTGAAGCCCCCTGCAAACTAATAAATACAAGCAACTGTGTAGCATAATCCCGCAAGCTAGAATGATCTTAACAACCCAGATGAACATGTAAGCTCTCTGACTCACTCTGCTGGCAATGACAGAATTCTGGAAAAGACAGCAAGTTCGAGCAGCCAGGTTCCACAGGCCTCTCCTTATCAGACGTTCCACACAGCGCTCCACAGACAACAGGGAGAGATGCGAGACCTTCCCATTCAGGTGCAGACAGAATAGCTCATTCTTGCAAACAGCCACATCCTGAATATCTACAAAAACCATAGGGGTGAACATGCAGGATGCTAACCAAATATTTCTTTTCCATTTTTGTGACTGGACAAAATTACTTTGATATATTCACTTTATATGGTTTGGTTTGATTGAATTTCACCTCTATTTTTATACCTTCATTTCAATGAGAAAATCATATTTTAGATACTATTCTAAAAAGATCAAGAATAAGAGGAATACCTGTCTGATCTAAAACCCTATATTTAAAAATACTATTTTTTTGTGAAAAGAAAGGCACTTTTGAGACCAGACTATCACAATTCTGAGAGTAACAAATTTGATGTCAATGAACAGACTAACGCATATGTAAACCAACAAAGTATTCCTAAAAAAATACCTGTCTTGGCAGAATATCATGAAAGAATCTAAAACACTAGTTTTCAAAGGAGACCCTCAGGAAACTTAATTCACAAGAAATCAATGTTGATCAGATCATGAGATAATGGTTCCTTTATCTTTTTTATGTTTTTACAAAGTACAAAATGACTCGTAATTCAAGATACAATCTGGGGGCAATCATACTAAAAATGCTAGATTTATTTCTTTTGTTTCTGGTTTAAACCTGAATAATACAGTGATTGATAGTCTTTGCCTCAGCCACATAAAATAGCTATTGTTCCCATAAGGATTTTTCAAACTCCCCCCTCCCCTGCCCCCTGCCCTGTTTTTTGCACACGAAGAGTATTTATTAACTCAGGGACTCCCCAATATGTCAACCCTGAATTATTAAGCCACAAAACAGGAGTTAAAGCAAGGTTTCTAACAGAGATAAAGATTAAGGGTAAGAAGAAGGGGAAAATTAACCCATTCAATCTTTAGGAGTGGTTGCTAATACTTAAGAATAAATGAAAATTTTATTTAAAATAACTAACTATAAATTCACAAATGTATACTTGGGAAGTATCTTATAATGGAATACACATATGACATTAATCTTTAAAAGAAATGTCACCTGTTTCTACTTTCTACTTCTTACACTGCAAGAGAATCCTCCTACAATAATTAAATCTTTCACAAGCATACAATTAAAAATTATATAAGAAAAAAAAACATAATTACCTTTGACTTCACTCCAAAGAAGAACTTGAACATTCTGAGGAATGAAAATATAAATTCCTCTTTCTGTCCAAGTCAACACACAATGCTCACTGCAAGAAAACATGGAAGAGGTCAAGAGAATTCTGGTCTGCTCAGAATCATAAGTTTATGATGTAATTCCCTGAATTCAGATCCTCACATTAGCTATTAAAGCAAGATCTGCCTGTACAGAGAAAACCCAACAGTCAATTAGGCTAATCATGTCCTATCACCTCTTTTTTGTCTGTGACAAGAGCCCACCATAACATAACATGATGACAAAATGGGAAAAATTCAGATACACTAAATACCTTGTACAAAAATAAAAGGCTGATATCTTACCTGATGTTTGTTAAAATATCTAAACCTTCCATATCTAGTATGACAGGGGCCCATTTAAAACGAAGACTAAATATAACATTCTACCATTCCTCACTGCTCTGGTGAGCTACTTTTAGGGAGGGAAATATTTTGATGTCCTTAGTTTTATGTGGGCAATAAAAAGTTGAAAACTCCCAGTCAACTCTGGGAGTTGTGTTTTTTTTTTTTTTTTAATGAAAAGCTATACCTGTATTATCTAACCTTGCAGCAACTCATCAAGATAGAAGCATTATTCCTATTTTGTAAAAAAGAAAAACTGAAGCCCAGAGAGATACATAATATGTCAAAGGCCATTCAGCATGAATATACAAGAGTCCAAATTTATCCCAAGAAGTCTGGGTCCAAAATCTGGACTTTTTTCTCCACACCTCACAGAATCTACTTCTACCCTCACTGAGCCTCAATGACCCACCCACTGTTATCTGGAATCCTGAACATTCCACTTATCTACAGTCTTGAAAAGTCACGGATTTTCTAGCTGCCAAACCCAATAACCTCCTCCTTCATTTTCCTTCTTGAGCCCCAAGCAGAGGCCAACCCTGCATATTGTTCCCTCCTTCCTGACTCTCCCTTTCCTAGACTCTGGACACTGCTTCTTCATCCACTTCCCTTTCCAGTCCTCTGGCACTCTCTCTCTCAGCTCATTTCCTTCCATACTCCTTTGTTCGTGTATCTCACTTACTCTCTCCAGGCTGCTATTGCTTTTTTATACACCACTGGTAATTCCTACTTCCTGTTCCTGGTCAGAGCTTTCTCCATATATAACATTCCTATCCTGACCACCTCTCAGGATCAGCAGCGGTCTTAATCCCCTTTAAAAGCCTCCCCAACAGCCCTCAGCCATTGCTCACAACTCTTACTTTTGATTGCTGTTAAACATTTTCTAGAAATAAACTATATCTCTCCAAAAATTATGATCTTGAGAACAGGGACTTTTATTTAGTTTATGCCTCCAAGTGCACTACAAATGGTAGGTACCAGGTGGTTACAAAACCAAAAGTGATATTTAATAGGAACTGAGTCATCACACAAATATTAAACATTTTGCCAATATAAGATCAGATTTCTGTCCCTACAGGAAAGTAACCTTTGTCACAAAGAAGAAAGAAATGGTCAGAACCATAGTTAAAACTAAAATTGGAAGGTTGCCTTTAGGAGCCAGAGGGGGAAAAAAAATCAGACCAGAAGATCCTTGAATATAGACACACAGGATCATGTTTTTGATACTGAACTTCATATTCAGCTTGGAAAAATTCCATAAAAATAGATATGGGATGGGGCAGGGGAGGGGGAATTACATAATAGCTGAGACTTTGTAATTTATACAGCCCTTCATCCCCTTATAATAAACAAAAAGTGATACAAGCCTAACAACATTGTGTGAAAACTTAAAGAAGGGAGGGATTTCCCTGGTGGTCCTGAGGCTTAGACTCCACACTCCCAATGCAGGGGGCCCAGGTTCAATCCCTGGTCGGGGAGCTAGAGCGCATGTGCACAACTGAGAGCTCACACGGTGCAACGAAAGAGCCCGCAATGCAGATCAAAGATCCTGCATGCCACAAGTGAGGCCCAGCACAGCCAAGTAAATAAATACAAAAAATTTTTTTTTAATTTTTTTAAGTTAAAAACAGGAAAGTGATATCAGTGTACCCAAAAGGAAATTAAGTATACAAATTTGCTTCCTCGTGGGATTTCCTCATGGGATTCGTGGGTATAACAGTGAAAGTTATCATGACACAAACGGGGGGAAAAAAGTAACAAAAGGTCCTCTTACTGATTTTTTTATTTAGTCATTATTTGAGAACTTTCTACGTGCCGAGCACTGTGCCAACAGTAAAGGAGCTAACAGTGTGGTGCTGGGACGGATATGCACGGTACAGTGAGACAGGATGGTGATGGAGAAATGAACAAAAGTGGTAACAGTGCAAAGGAGCAAGCGTCTGATGTAAGCCACTGGAGGAGTCAGGAAAGGCTTCAAAGTGGCACTAATTATTACTTAAGCTGAGGAGTAGGCAGAGCCAGATCATGCAGGGCTTTGTTAGGTAGGCAGGCGCTCTAACGGGAGCTTTAAATAGCTTACCTCAAAAAACTAACACTACCAGGAGAACCACGCAGACTGTGGCCTTACCATTAAAAAACATACTCTTGGGTAAGGAACTTCCCCCTACACCCCACACATCACACCACAGTCAACAAGTTTAAGTGTCTATGATGTGCCAGGCATTATGCCAAACACTGAAAAAAACACAGTAAATAAAACAGACACCAAGCCCTCATGGACCTTACTGTGTAGGAATAAGATAAGCGTAAGTATTCTTGCCTGGAAAATCCCATGGACGGCAGAGCCTGGTAGGCTACCTTCCACGGGGTCACAAAGAGTCGGACACGACTGAGCAACTTCACTTTCACTTTCACATGTATTTGAATATGTAATGATAAACTGTGATAAGTGCCAAAAAGAAAGAGTTTTTAACATGCTTCATCTATGAGCAAATAAATAGCTTTCTCCAGTTAACTTTCAGGATGAATTATGGATTTATCAAAGAGTCACACTCTTTACAACTGACTTCCAAATATTTCAGTGTAGGTAGTGCAACATATACATACATTAGTTAAGGGCAATTAGTTGACATTTCAAGTGCTTTGTTTTTTGTTTTTTTTAATTACATTCAAAGAGAGGTTAGTTAGCCTTTGAAAAACTCAATCAGGAGCCAAACTCCAGACTACCCTGTAAGAGCTCTACAGAATGTTTCCTGAATCTGCATTAAAGATCTTGTTAATTAGCCTAAGGGATATTAGAAATCATATCCTATTGCTGAAATAAGAGAAGCTCAAGACGTACAGACTGACTGGAAACCATACACTGGGCACTCCCATGCTTGTAGGACGAGCCGGAAGAACTGGCAAGCCCAGCAGCTAACCGCTCTCAGTGGCACTCTGTGCTACCACTTAATAGTAGACTTTTTGGTACCTAACCCAACTAGAAAGATAGCTAAACTCTGACATTAGAACATGGCTGGCTGGATCCAGCTTGAGCAGATCTTTCATGCAAAGCACCTGAAGAACAGGGAGCTGAAATTTCATGTTTACAAGAACAAACTCTACAACTACTTTTGCACCTGCTTGCTAAGAAACATACATATGCAGCAGATTTCAGTCTGAGGCTTGCTTTCATTGTTGTATTCCACCAGGGAGGGGAGGTTATGAAAGAATGTGTACCTATAGCTCTGAGCTCTAATTGCCAGATGTACCCAACAACTATAAAGTGTTCAAGTGGTTTAGGGCAGTTCAAAACAGAAAGGGAAGTGTATTTCTATGCTTTTTTTTCATTCCTCTTATATATAGCACTTTACACAGTCATTTCCTGATTCTCTAAAAATGATTTAGTACAAAAACAAACTTAAAAAGCTAACTGCCTCTGAACAAGAAACAGATGAAGTTTTTTTTGTTTTTTGGGGGGGGGGTTGTTTTTTTAAGGCTCAAAAAGAGAAACTTACCTAAGATGTAAGAGTTTGGGGAAAGACAAAGACTGGGAAGATCCAATTGTATGATCATACTGAGGTTCTGATCTAGGAAGTAAACATGATTAATGATTTAATCACAATATAAAAGTATCTTTTTCAGTACACAGGAAAATTTCTGCCTATTAAACAAATTCAAGAGCCAGTTCACTGTATTTGCTCTTGTTCAATTTGCTTTAACCATATAAAAAATAATTGGTTAAAGACTTTTAGGTTTCTCTGAATCTTTTAATAAAAATTCTATTTCACTCTTAAAAGGTATAATAAAATCTTTGCTGCATGTAGAACGTCAGAGGTTTCAACCCAACCCTCACCCCATGTAAGTTCCTCAAATACTTGCTACTGAACATACAAGTCATTACCTTGGATTAATCACAGGAAGAGGTGGTGAGGAGAGGAGTTTCTTAAACTGATGTGTGCTTAAAACTTCTCCATCAAAGTTCGCCTCCCACATCCTGGAGCCAGGGCGAGCACAGTATATTAGGGGCTGCTGGCCTGGAGAGCACCTTCCCGGGAAGAAACACGCTCCATATTCTCCATCTCTTTCCTTGTTTCCAATTTTCCAAAATTTTTCTCTGATACCCCCCACGAAGAAAGAGAAATCATGTTTACCGACAGAAACGTCAAAAGCACTGGCACTGCAAATCCGCATGGCCGTAATAACCCCACCACAACATCCTCCCTTTCTTCATATTAGCAATTTACTGCAACGAACAACAGAATGGAAAGATCAAAACAGGGTTACAACTCTCATTTGCCATTAACTATTTCTGTTACAGGAAGCAAAACACTTCAGGTTAGTACTCAGTTTATTAGCCACAGAATGAGGGGTCAGAGTTAACGTGAAGGCTCTTTTTCAAAACTAAAAGATAAGTGCTACCAAACCATTTCCTACACCCTTAAATCCTACTGACTGCTCACCTTGTTTTTCAGCTACCCTGTGGAGGCCACTCATCTACTGTCCAATCCTGTCTCCAGGCCACTCGTCTGTCACAAATACCCAATAAACGCCTCACTCTTTCCTCAAAACGCTAAGTCCTTCTGGAAGTCTGTACCTTGGAACATTCCATTCCCTTAGGATTACACCAACTAGATATATAAAAGAACAGCACACACAAAACTGCCTGAGAACATGGAGGGTGAGAATGAGTATGGCTCTTCCCAAACACTCCTTTATCTTTCACGGGCTAACTCCATCCTTCCTCCTCTGACAGTCTTCTCTGACTCCTACAAGCATAATTTCAGGCTTCCCACGCCATGTTTTCAAAGCATTCACCACATTGTATGTGGTAGCGCTGTCTACTTGAATAGTAGGTGCTAGTGGTAAAGAACCCACCTGCCAATGTAGGAGACATAAGAGACTCGGGTTCGATCCCTGGGTAGGGCTTTTGATCCCCAGGTAGGGAAGATCCCTGGAGGAGGGCATGGCAACCCGCTCCAGTATTCTTGTCCAGAGATCCCCATGGACGGAGGAGCCTGGCAGGCTATAGTCCACAGGGTCGCAAAGAGTCAGACACGACTGAAGCGACTTAGCACCCACGCACACACCCTGCACGTAACTTGCTTCATGAATAAAACAAAACATCAGCTTTACTAGAAGAATAGTTTTAAGGATTAACTAAAATAAGCCAGAAATGTATTTTATTTCCCAAATAAGTAATGAAACCGTAACTTCTTCTAATGCTCTGTATGCACTTCAAAGCACTTCCACATCCATATTCTTCTAGTAAAGCTCATCAACAATACTAACAGAAAGTAGCAGGAAAAGCAACCTCCTATCTCACTTTGGTTAGTTATCAGGAGCCTTGGTTTGAACAAAAAAAAATGTTTGTTTGGAAAGGAACGTAGGTTGAAACAAACAAAACTTTAACATAAATAAAAGATTTTAATTATTGTTCTATCCACGTTCCCCCAAACTGAATTCTAGCTAATGAAGAAGGCATTTCTAAAACATGTTATTTAAAAAAAAATAAATAAATAAAACATGTTATTTTTGCAGTTGGCTATCCTCATAACCAACTCTAATCACAATCCTGTGAAATGGGAATTAGCAACTATACTGCACAGAGATAAAAATAAACCTCCATTTATTTAGCTCCTTATACCATTTCATTAGATTCTCAAAACAACCCCAGGAAGGTGTTAATTCAGTCCAGTGTTCTGACCACTTGTCAGAATGTTAGTCAAATTTCTGAACTTGACTGTGTGGTAAACAGGAAAAACCACAGATGAAGAATATTTATGAAATTTGTGAGGTTAATTAATATTTTATCAAAATCTCAAGGGTAGATTTAATGGCTAAAAGGTCCAATGTCAAAGGATATACTAGAGGTGACTGAGGTACAGAAAAAGCACGAAATCAAGACAAAAAGATTCTATTCTGCCTCCTCCAGCTGTGTGATGTCAAGCAAGCTCTATTACTCACTAGGTCTAGGCCTAAAAATGAACAGGTGACACTGGATGATGTCCAGTTCTGTAAGTCTAACTTCATCACTGATCCACAGTCTGAAATAAGTCAGAACCAAGTACATCCCCCTTCCTACTAATTCCGGGTAAGTGGATCCTTTGCATCTCAAAGCCTTGCTCCACAGCTGTATACCTAGGTTCTGATACCAGACACCTGCAAACTGCTATTTCTGGTCTCATTTCCACAAGTCTTTCTCATCCCAAGAAAACAAAATGCAACCTCTCCTCACCGTCTCATGAGATAGAAGAACCCCTAGAAAGACATAAAAAGTTTCCAATCCTGGATAATTCTAAGAGGACCAATTTCCAAACCCTGATTTTCCACACGTACACTTCCTTAAAATGATCTGAGAGCCCATGTACTTACTTAGAGTGACATTTACAGCTGTCACTCTCAGTATGATGCAAACTTACCAATGTGATCCCCAGCAACTCCCATCTCAAGCCAGTTGGACACATCTTGGAATATGCCTAATTCTTTTTCGCTGCTCCCCAAGAGGCTGTACCTTCCTACTAGAACAGCCTCTCCCCTCCTACCCCTGTGCCTTCAAACTTCACCTACTAAACCTCCTCATCAAGTTACTGAAGCTGGCTAGTGGACTCACAGGGATTTATTAAGCAATTCTCTCTTCTTTCATATGTGCTCAAAATTCTCCATAATAAATTTCTAAAAGAGGGAATGGGTTCAAAGGAATATGGTAGCTGGCCAAGGCTACTGGAAGGGAAAAGGCAGGGTGGGAGGCAGTGAATATTTCTATGCAGTGAGAACGGCTGAGGAACTTAAGCACAGTGATACACAAGATTTATTCATTTCAAGCCATTTCCTGTTCTGTTCTGGTATTTCACAGCCACCGCCAACACATTCCTTTGCCGTTCACAGGTCTTTTGGCTCGACCCTTGAGATTTCATTAAATAATTGTCAGCTGCACAAAGTTTTCAATTATTCTTCACCCAATTTTACCTTTTAGTAAAATTCTATTAAATACACAGCAAAATTCCCTATCACCATAAAACCTGAGCTTCTGAGCCATGTGGGAGAGCAGCTCTCCTGGGTTCCATTATCCTTGTTCTCCACCTGGGCACCTTTCCCAAAAAGTCTCTTGCTTTTCCAGCAAAAGAAAAAAAAAAAACAACTACACAGCCAATTTCAACAACAACAAACTCAGTCCAAGAAAACTCCCTGATTTCCCACACAGCAACAGGCCTTTGTTCAGCCTTCCTTCATGGCACTTAGACCAGGCTTCTTGGTAGAATGGAGTATTTGCCTTAGTCACCCACTGGACTCTCATCTATATCCTCTCTGCTCTCTAGCATCAACTTGCACAGAGCTGGTTCCTTATTAATATCTGTATAACTGAATTGAAGAAATTGGGCGAGATGACTTCTAAGTCCCTTCCAGTTCTGAAATTCTGTATTTCCAATGACTCATGGTTAGCAAGTATACCTCTCAGTGTCACACAAGAAGGATCGAGTAAGCGAAGATACAAGTAGTCTTCCATCCAAGTAATCTAACTGGACAACACAGGAATCAACTGTCGTTATTGTCTGAACAGGGAACATCACAAAGGCAGCAGCTGCCTAAAGGGGATGCGACGAGAAAATAAAATTTATCTTTATGTATACACATAATCCTCCTCTCTTTACCTTTTAAATGAAAACAGTTTAGATAACAAAACAAAAATTTTAAATGGACCAAAACTAATTTGCCTGTTAAGACTATCAAAGTTTCATCCATTCATTTTGTGAAAAAATTTTCTATGTAACTGAAGAGGAGGATTCTTAAGGCTCTGTTTGTGATTATCTATTCTTAGAGTTGGAATGAAAAAGACGAAATAAGTCTTGGAATATGAGAGAGAATTGTTTACCTGTAGACAGTACTTCTCCACTTGGAAAAAAAGACAAACTAGGGCCAAGAATCCCAAATGTATTTTGGATGAAAAATACATTATGAATCAAGTGGTAACTGTGATGGGTCACCATTAATATTTCATTAACACATCAAGAATACTCTGATGTGTTAATTAAAATAATTAGGCAATGGTATTTAGATCTCTTCTAATCTGCCACAATCCTCCAAGGAAATAAGCCAATGAGAGACAAGTTCCCCACTTCTGATGTAACAGCTTTGGAAAAGGAGGACAGTGAGAAGAAAGTCCACTATCTTAATGACAAACTGGAGCATTCCAGGAAGCCTCAGGACCCACATTGCTGAGACCAATCAAGGGGGTACCTTTAAGATTCCATTCACAAGTTACATCCATCCTGGAAGAAAGTGTACCTGCACTCAAGAATTTCTTCGAAATGGGGACCAGGAGAATAGGAGCCTGGGCAACTGGGCATTCCTCCATGTCTGCCATTTTATTCACATAACTAACAAACAGGCATCTGTTCATCCTTGATAGCCAACTACTAAAGAACGCTTTATTTAAGTGGGCCATCCAGGTGAATTATGGAGTAATGTGATAGAGAAAGCGCAAATTATGAAAGTTAGCTCACAGCTATTCTGCAACATGACCAAGATAAACCAGGGTACCATACATACTACACGCAAACAAGTTTTCTCAAAATTAATAGTCTGGGCCCCAGATAACTCTGCAAGACACACAGATCAAACTGTGTTCTTTAATTGAAATTCTGTAAGAGAACACCTTATATATTCACCCACTTACACAAAGCACTGAACTGGTTCTCACCTTTGTTTGCTTAGAAGTGTTGAGTTTGATGGCAGAAACTTTCCCCAAATGATCACCTACAAATACTCTAAGAATAGCTGTATCCCAACAGAGAGCTGTAACTTTCCGGCCTTTGTGTTCTGAAGACACATAAATTCGTTCTGGTTTCCCACGACGCTCTTGATTTAATTCCCAAACAACTACAAGACCTTGACTGCAAGAATGGAGACACAGAAGCAAATTTTTGGCAGTGGTGAAAAAGGTACAATTCTGCTGCATCACAGTATCAACTATATTAAATATATAAGCATATTCTTATTCTTCAGAAAAGAGGAAGTAGAAAGCCAAGATATTAATCTCCTTGCTTTAGTCCACCAATCCAATACAATACAGAACTTTGAGGTTCTCAATTATGCTACCTTTCTATTTTGAGGTCTCAGAAATGTTGCCTCATATTAGTGTTTTCCACAAATCCTATGGTGACTGAGTGCGCACCTTGGTTTGCTTGGGTCTAAATGGTTTCCCAGGTCACAGGACTTTCAGCGCTAAAAAAACGTGAGGCCCAGGCGCACCAGGACGGTTGGTCACCCTAATACACACACAACCACATTTTTCAATTTCAGATGCATTTGGGAAAGATCAGAGTTTCAAAACAGTTTCTCACCTGGTCGCCACAGCAACATAATCATCATCATGTAAACAGCAGGCGATCTGAGAAATTGCACCTTCCTAGAGCACAGAAGGAAAAGTATTAGGCAGCTCCTCAAAAATGGGTAATTTACTACTCAATCTCAGGTTTTACCTTCTTCTTTTATGCCAAATGATATTTACAAAGGAGAACTCACATTTATGACAGCTACTCCAGACAGTACATGACAGGGTAACCCTTAATCTTACCCTGTGAGAAAGAAAAAGCCTGTGCTTCCAGCCTTCTTTCTGAATGAGGTTGAGTCCTCCACCTGAGCTGCCCAAAGCCAACCATTTTCGAGACACAGCTATGCTTGTGCACTAGGAACATGGAAACAGACAAGTGAGAGACTCAGTCACGCAGCTAATAAACTATCTACGGAAATAAGATCCTGAGAACCTGCATCAGGTTCCTGCCCACCGCCCTACCCACTGCCCAGTCAGACACAACAGGACTCAAGCTCTTATTCTAGAATAGTGAAGGTGGGTACGGTAGCGTGGCCGAGCGGTCTAAGGCGCTGGATTTAGAATAGTGAAGGATACAGAACAAAGGACATTTCAGTTTTAACTTTTTAATTGAATCTCAAAATGGCTGAACAGGTTCAATTGTATAAATGAGTAATTTTGCCCTTTGGCAGAAGCCAGTTACTGGCCCATTCATATCTTCTGGGCAATTCAGCTAGGTCATTCCAATGCTGACACAATGATGGAAGATCAAGTACCCAGGGGATAAAGCAACCATTTTAACCATCTGTTCAGGTAAATCCTTTCTAGTCTGTATGATGAGCACAGAAAACCCACAGCTCTGAGAGCAAGGGAGACTGTAGACGACGCAAATACAGGTCGCTGTACTATGACTTCTCCCCACGCCTTCCTCTCCTTATCCATCAGAAAAAGCACGGGCCACGCTGTGCCCAGTACACTATGGTAAAAATTACTGGTTGGCAAACCAACATATTCCCAATCCTCTTCAACCTTGTTTCTTTCTACTATAGAAGCTGGAAAATCCAAATCTTCACTTACCCAGTTTCTTTTGCAGCTAGGGGGAGCCCTGGGACTCAAGTCCAGCTAATGAGACTATGCCCCGTGGGGGCTTCCTGGAATACTCTGCCCTCTCAGATAAATGGTAGAATCTGAAGGGGAAAAAAGCCTTTGTCTCAGGCACCTCCATCTCACTTGAGCTGCTACTGGAGATAATCAAGAAGCCAGCACACTTATCTTGCAAATGTGACCAATGGTCAATACACAGAAACTAGCACAGCAGGAAAGATGGAGAGCCTGGGTGCTAAGGAATATCAGTGGCCACCACACTAAACCCAGAAACAATGACCTCCAACCAGGTTATAAACATCTTTATTGCTTGAGCCATTACTGAGGAGATTTTCTGTAACTTGCAGCTAAAAAAAATGTCAGCTATCAACCCTCCTGTTGCTCATATTACTTTGCCTATTTCTTCAGTTCCTTTGCTCAGAGGCTAGAAGGGTGCTCTGGAGTGAGGAATTGGTTATGTGACTGTTCTTTACCATGTCATTCCTGAGTTCATCAAATGAACTCAGAGTGTGAGAGAAGCTCATACTCCTTCCCACAGAACTAATTTTTGGCTAATTTTGTAATGCTAAATTTTAGTTCTGTTCCCTAAAACAGAGGGGGTACATCAAATTCCTTGTTTTGAAATGAACTTCATATAACTGCAGTGGTTCTTGTTGTTCAAAAGGCAATGAGGTATACTCATTTAAAGTATGTTATTTTCAAACAAATATTACCTTCTGAGAGAGTTTGGGGGAGGGGGTGGATTCAGTAGTCAATATCATGATTTACAAGGATGGGAAAGAAGAATTCAATCAACTGCTTGAAAAATAAATCAAGAAAGCACTAAGAAAATATTACTTCTATGCAAAGTATTACAGCACAGGTAAGAACACCCAGAATTCTATAAAAAATAAAAAATGGGGGGGGGGGGTGCACATGTAACAGAGAGAGCCCAAAATATGAATATGAAAATAAAACTGATACAAGGATCAAGAAAATCACCTTCAGACGAGTGGAGTCCAGCCTCAGGGCTGAAAGTAATGGATCCAGAGACTCAAATTCTGCAAGAACATGGCTGTAGGACTCTGGTATTACTGGCACGAAAGTCATTTACCCAGAGAGATTAAACTACGTTGAGGGACAGGCACAGTGATCCTGAATAAAACCTGCAGAAATATAATTTAAGAAGCTCACCACTCTTTCAGCAAGCATTAAATGAACAGGTGTTACAGCAAAGAACAAAATCTGACTCCATGTTGGATCTGTTCCTTTTAAACTTTGCTCCCCATTGCTGTTGCTATCCATACATAATGGCCTGCCTCAAGGAACCCTGCCCCTCTGCCTGAATCTTAAACCAAAATGCCTTTGTTCAGGACCCTCTCCACCTGTGCATGGCTACAGGAAGGAGGAAATTAACAGTCCCCTCCCTGACGTTGGCCATTCCAGGAGATAGTTGCAAGATTAATAGCCTTTTTACTTTACTTCCTCACCTTCCTCCTCACCCCTATAAAACAGTCTGGTATCCAGACCCCAGTAAGATGGTTATTTTGAGACATGAGTCTGCCATTGTCTCGGTCAGCCGCCTTTCCAAATAAAGTTGTTCTTTGCCTCAACACTTCTGTCTCCGATTTACTGGCCTGTCAGGCATTGAGCAGAGCAAGCCTGGACTCGGGAACAAGAGGAGAAAACATGGAAACATGAGAAAAGGACAAGGATTCCCTCCTCTGGAGCTGGCTGGCATCCAGGTGGAGAGGAAACATTTACAAGTAACATTATATGTGACAGTCAGCTTGTACTGTATCTCCCTGACTAAAACTCCCAGGGAACGAAATCCAGATTCTCAAGGTTCTCCAAATCCTATCCTACTCTATTTCTCTAACAGTATAGAAGAGACACTGCAGAACGTAAGGGGAAATTTTGTCAAGCTCCTCTGTGGTAAAATAGCAACTCCAGCTGCAATGCTTTGGGCTATAAATCATCTGTCTTTAAGTCTCTCACTACATTCAAAGGTTATAAGCCCACAATTCAACAGTGTTTAACAGGAAAGGGCTTCTGGATGGCTTCCTCCAGCCTGTAAGTGAGAAGTCGGATGCCGAGAATTAAGCACACCAAGGGGAATGAGAGCTTCACTATCAGACCTGATAGGAAAAGATAGGAGTAAGAATTCACATCCCTGGGATTGCAAAAGTCAGACACAACTTAGTGCCTAAACAAAAGAATACAAGGGAGCAAATGCCAGCTTCCCAGTGAAGACTCTGTAACTAAGACAAGCATTCTTACCTCTTCAGCAACACTCAAGTTTATGTTTCTGTCAAATTATGAGAGTTTCCAGAAAAAAGAAATAGAATTTAAGAAAATTCTACCCATTAATTTTCACTTTTCCTCAATGTTTTGTTACCTGCCAAGCTGAGAATAAAAAGCAAATACCAAGGAAAAATTCAGAAATAATTGTTTATACTTGTTTTTAATTATTTATACCTTGTGGTTTTGGTGTTTTTTTCCCCCAAAAAACACATGTATTCACTCACTCATTTACTCAACAAATATGTACTTAGCACCAACTATGTGCCAGGCATCCTTTTAGGTCCCAGAAACACAACAGAGGACAAAACGAGTCCTAGCATTCACGAAGCATACGTTCCAGGGGCAAAACACATATAGAAGCTTACAATACTTTTTACTGCATACACATAACATAGTTTTATTTTCTGCTATTAATGCTGTTTTTAATACAGCTTGATCTCTGCAAGAATGGTGTTCTGGAAAAAAAAAATCTTTAGTAGTTCTATACTCAAAATATTATTTAAAAATCTTCTCTCATTCTTTCACCCATTCACATTATTAAATATTACAGACACAGAAAAATCAGGATCACCAGACAAACAGCTCTGCTCACCATACAGTTCTACAAGGGTTAAGTCTTAACCTGCTGCAGTTGCTGACCCACCAGGGCACTCTGAGAGGAAATTAAGTCAACAGGATGAGGCCCACTGCTCCCGACAACAGGCCCCTCAAACAGATGTTTATCTCAGGAAGAATTTTAATCACCTCAGATTTTTATACCTCCCCAAACATAGAAAAGCACTAAAATCTGTTCTTTGTGATTAGCAGTAGTCTTTTACCAAGATACAGGCTTGCCTGCACTTATTTCCTAGCTAAAATTCATATGTAAACTGTCTTCTCAACATCTTCTAGTAAAATACGAGGCACAGTGGTGCTAACAAGACAAAATAATTCCAGAAAGCAGTCATTTTATAATCAACTAAGGAGGAAAGACAAATCTCACACACACACACACACACACACACACACACACACACCCTCATAAGGGGAACAAAAGCAAAGTAATACGTCAGGACACAGAGGACAGAGGGATCACACTGAGTTAAAAGTAACCACAGAAAACTTTCTAAGGGAAGTAGCACTAGAGCTGAGGAAAAGGCAAAGGGTAATAAGGCAGTAATAAGCCAAGTATTTATTGTTGTTCAGTCACTAAGTGGTGTCCTACTCTTTTGCAACCCCATGGACTATAGCCCACAAGCCTCCTCTGTTCATGGGATTTCCCAGGCAATACTGGAGTGTGTTGCCATTTCCTTCTTCAGGGGATCTTTCCAACTCAGGGATAGAATCCGTGTCTCCTCCATCAGCAAGTCAGAGGATATACTTGGAGAATATACATTTAGTCTTTGGTTGAAACACAGGATACAAGCAATGGAATAAAAAAAGATAATCCTGGATATTAATTCAGGTACAAGTTACAAAGCACTGTGAATCTCAAACCAAGGAACCTGAACAAATTATAATTTGGTAAGCAACAGAAAGGCATTGAAGTACTGGTAGACCACATAATTTCTGTGAAGTGCTGTGGGAAGACACCAGAAACCAAGGACTTGAGAAAAGGGGATAGAAGTGAGAAACAAAAGATAAGGACTCAAGACATCTTGTGGAGAAGGAGAAAACCTCTATCGACCTTATGAGCAGGGGAGACTCAAACAGACATGTAGGTAGTAAGCGAACAGAATTTAGAATGATAGGGACTGAAGATACAAGAAAAAGAAGATGAATCACTGTTTAAGATCCTAAGGAAGATAGAAAGGAATGACATCAAGACCACAGTGGCTATCTCTTCCACTTGCAAACTTAAACTCTGATACGGATAGACCATTTGGCACTGATCTCAGTGAAGAGAGAATGGCCTGGAAATTATGACCTAATCGGGTAAAACACCTAGTTTCTATTTCTCTGAAAAAGACTTAATGGAGATGAGAATGAAAAGAGAACAGCATCTACAATGTCAGTTCTCAAGAGAAGCTGCTGGGTGTTAGCGAAAGTGAAAGTTACTCTGTCGTGTCTGACTCTTTGAGACCCATGGACTGTAGCCCGCCAGGCTCCTCTGTCCATGGAATTTTCCAGGCCAGAATACTGGAGTAAGTAGCTGTTCCCTTCTCTATGGGATCTTCCCAACCCAGGGATCGATCTCAGTCTCCAGCATTGCACACGGATTCTTTACCATCTTGAGCTATCAGGGAAACCCAGTGATAGTGTTACACCCATTCCAAATTTATACCTTCCCGTGTGCTTACCATCTCCGAATAGACACTTTACCTCCCAGACCTACTTACCAAATTCTTCCCAGGTTTTCAAGTCCAGCGTAAGTTCCACTTCTCATAATTCTCAAAGTGGAAGACTCATAGATAACTTGGGGCACACATCCACGTAATTCAAAAATTAATCTGAATTAAAGTTCTGGATCCCTGAACATTTTCAGGAAGGGAAAGGAAGTGCTCCCCCATTATACAGAGTGAAGTAAGCCAGAAAGATAAAGACCAATACAGGATACTAACGCATATATATGGAATTTAAAAAGATGGTAATGATAACCCTATATGCAAGACAGAAAAAGAGACACAGATGTACAGAACAGACTTTTGGACTCTGTGGGAGAAGGCGAGGGTGGGATGTTCTGAGAGAATAGCACTGAAACAAGTATACTATCAAGGGTGAAATAGATCACCAGCCCAGGTTGGATGCGTGAGACAAGTACTCGGGGCTGGTGCACTGGGAAGACCCAGAGGGATGGGATGGGGAGGGAGGCGGGACTGGGGATCGGGATGGGGAACACATGTAAATCCATGGCTGATTCATGTCGATGTATGCAAAAACCACTGCAACATTGTAAAGTGGGCTGCACAGCCCACTCCTCCAAAGCTCACACCATTATAAGGTACTTTTTTACTACTGGGCTGAAACCTGATGACTTGGAGCTTTTATTCCCAACTGTGGCTTCTACAGTTTAAGAAAATGTCTGCATGCATGCTAAGTCGCTTCAGTCGTGTCTGACTCATTGCAACCCTATGGACTGTAGCCCTCCAGGCTCTTCTGTCCATGGGATTCTCCAGGCAAGAATACTGGAGTGTGCTGCATGCCCTCCTCCAGGGGATCTTCCTTACCCAGGGAGCAAACCTGTGTCTCCTGCATTAATAGGCAGGTTCTTTACCACGAGTGCCTCCTGGGAAGCCCAAGGAAATGTTTACTCCTTACAAGACAGTCCTTCAGTATTTGAAAAATGTCATGAGGTCTTCTAAAAATTTAACACCACCAGTTTTTCAATCATTCTGACCTGCCAATTTCCAAATTCCTCTCAGTTCTGATAAGCCTTCCACATAGGACCTTTAGTTTGCCTGAACATGTCCTGTCCAGAACTGAACAGAAAACTCTTCAGTAGCTTGATAACCAGAATAGGGTAGAAACACTAACTTCCTTGACCTGGACACTAAGTTTCTATATTACATCCTAAAATGGTATCAGAGGCAGTTTTTTGTTGTTGTTTTTTTTCCAGCTATGTTTTTAAAGTAGCCATGTCACACTTCTGATTCAACAGAGCAAGAAGCTAACTAACACCCAAAGAAATTTTCAAACGAAATTAATATAATCTTCCTAGCTAGTACCTGGGCTTCCCTGGTGACTTAGTGGTAAAGAATACGCCTGCCAATGCAGGAGACACAGATTCAATCCTTGGGTTGGGGAGTTCTCCTGGAGAAGGAAATGGCAACCCACTCCAATATTCTTGCCTGGGAAATCCCATGAATAGAGGCACTTGGCGAGCTGTTATCCATGGAGTTGCAAAAGAGTTGGAGACAACTTAGCAAGTAAACAACATCAGCCAGTACCTAGATACAGTAGAATCAAGCTCAAATTGAAAGCTGCTATTAATCAAATTCAACAATGGATATAAAAAGTACCCAGAAATTTTTAAGCTGTTCAGACAAGAACAGTAGAATGTTGATACTTGTTAAAGTTTGGTTAGGTATACATGAGGGTTCACTATACTATCCTGTTTATCTTTGTGTTTGAAATTTTTCTGAACAAGATTTTTTTCTTGAGTTACATACAGTTAAATTACAATGCTGCTAGTTTCAAGTGTACAGCCAAGTGATTTAGCCATGCACATATATGCATTCAAGACTTTTAAGTAAATTCGTAACAACAAGAATCTCTGTACAAATCTTTCATTCTATAAACTTTCTGTGCCTCCATGGTTTAATATATGCTGTTTCTGGACTCTTCCTCCACAGAAAAAACCCGTCTCTCCGCAAAACTGAGTTTAACTATTACTTCTGTCACAGTTAGCCAAGCAAAACACTAAGCAGAGGGTGGCCATAAATGCTTACCAAAGCCAATGAAAAAACCTTCTGAAGAGTTGGTTTACTAAAGGTCACAGAGCTCATAAGCAGAGGTGAGACTAAAACCCACTAATCCTGAGTCCAAATCTAATTACCTTTTCATTTCCCCTATTGCTTGATGGCAACATAAAAGAGCAGTATGATCAAAAAAAGGTTTTTCTCTTGGCCTAGTACTCATTTTACTGAACCAGTGTTTGCTGTGTGAACACCCAATGCAAATCACAGCGTTCTCTTTTCCCCACTACCTAGTGAAAGAAAGAAGAGGCAAGAGAGAGAAAAAAAGGAAGAAAAATTAAAGATATTATGCCAAGAGGAAGTTGGGGATTCCCTCATAATGGGATCTTTCTATAAAGAAGGCTGAACGCCAAAGAACTGATGCCTTTCGAACTGTGGTGCTGGAAAACACTCTTGAGAGTCCATTGGACAGCCAGGAGATCAAACCAGTCAATCCTAAAGAAATCAACCCTAAGTATTCTTTAGAAGGAGTGATGCTGAAGCTGAAGCTCCAATATCTTGGCCACCTGATGCGAAGAGCCGACTCTTGGGAAAAGACCCTGATCCTGGGAAAGACTGAGGGCAGGAGAAGGGGCGACAGAGGATGAGAAGGTTGGATAGCATCACTGACTCAAGGGACATGAGTTTGAGCTAACTCTGGGACACAGTGGAGGACAGCGAAGCCTGGCGTGCTGCAGCCCATGGGGTCGCAAAGTCGGACACGACTGAGTGACTGAACAACAACCCAATAGAGAACTCCTCTCTACTTTAGACCAAGAAATGGCGACTCACTCACTCATGCACTCAACATGCCTTGCACGCATCATTGTAGACATCTTACCACAAGCTCCCTGCCTAGCGGAACTCCTAACTTAACAGCAGTTAACTTTAATACTACATTCAGATCTCTGGAAAGAAGCCGCGATAATCAAGTTTTCAAAGCCAGGCTCACAGCCTGTAGATCACAGCCCCTCTCCACCACCTCTAGGCCAGCAGCCCCCAACTTTCTGTGGGTCACAGCCTCTCTCCCAGTTAGGTGCCCGCACACTCACCGCGCGCTAAGAGCCGCACCTGAGCTGCAGTCTTCCCTCCTACTCCTCCCCTCCCAGGCGTACGTCATCCCGGAGCGCCGGGGACGCCGGGACAAAGCTGTTAACGGTACTTCCTCGTCACGTGATGGGTTACGCCCTGCTTGCGCGTGGTCCCTCCCCCTCCGGCCGCGGTCGCGATTACGCTCTCTGCGGCCTGCCTGCTGCCGGCCGAAGACGCAGCGCCGAACGAGACCGGAGGAGCCCTAGGCCAAAGGGGTGAGACAGCCAAGTTCCTGGGACCTTTCACCGCCTAAAGCCGGCGAGAATAAATGAAACAGGCGGGCACCGGCGGAGGAGGGAGGGAACTAGCGGAAGGTGTCATGGCGGCCGCGCTCTGGGGTCACGTGCCCCGCAAGCCCGCCTTGGTACTTCCGGTCACGTGCCCTCAGAGTTCTCGCAGCCAGCGATGGAGGCGAGACCCCCTGGTAACAGAGGCGGTGGCGGCGGCGGCGGCGGCGGCTACTGGGTTTCAGCCTCTTTCCCGCAGCATCTTTAAGAAGCTCAGCGGAATTCGACTCGACCCAGCGCAGTAACTTACTCCCTGCCCAGGGCCGTCTCCCACCTGGTAAGTTTAGACTGAAAAATGGGGGTGGACGGGTGGGTGATGAGCTGACAGGCCTGGGGGCCGCAGGACGGCTCGGAATCTGCCCCTTTTTCCTGTATGCCTGTCGCCGTTGCTGCAATTCCCAATTCTTCTGTCTCGGTTAGCCCTTTATTATTTTGAATAGAGGAAGAGGCGACCCCTTATTTGCTTCTCTATAGGAAGCCAACCCCTCCACTGAAAGCAGGGACTCAAAGATGTACCCAAAGCTGTGAGATTTGGCTCATGAGGGTGAAGGACGTGGAAGCCTCTCTCTGGCTGAGGAGCCCTTCCCGTTAGAGAATGTGCTATTGAGTCTTTCGGTTTCTGTAAGGGAAAAGCTTTCATCTTAGTTCCACACAACTTTTACTTCGTTTGTCAATCCTGTCCCTCTTAAAATGACCTTAACACCTGTGCCAGTTCACCCCACCCCCGCCAGTCACACACCAAGTTTTGATCTATGCCCAACTTGATCATGTTTAAGCACCAACACATGGAAGTATATAATTTATTTTAGAAATTCTCCAAGGCTAAATTGTGTAAGGAAGTGTTTTCGGTTGACTCTTAAACACCTGTTTTAGGGTCTATAAAATGAGGGGGGAGGGGGACGGGAGGAAAGAGATAAAATCTTAACCTTTTGCCCATTAGCAGACCCAGTTTTAAAAACATACCAAAACTGTGTGGTTTAAAGTATACCTTGCAGTAAGTACTGACTCCATGAGAAAGTGGAACAATTTTTCCTCGTGAATTCTTACCAGAAACCCCAGATGTATAAAGCAGCATGCCATGGTGGAATTGCATTTGGGAGCACCCATCCTACCCACTCAGTCTCCCCTCTTGGAACACAGCTTGAAAGTCACTGAACTCGACTTTGGTAACTAAAGCAAGGTTGCCAACCCTAAGGTAGATTTTGAAAAATTAAAGGTAGAAAAATGAGATGGAGGTCACAGCAGAGGGGAGGGTAACCTCAGGCTTATGGCATACAAAAGGACTAGACTCTAGAAGGAATTTTGTACCTTTTAGCAGACCAAAATCCCTGGTTTGGAAAGAGGGCGATAATTTGGAGCCATTAAACCTGTTCTGCTACTCTCAGCCAACACTTAGCAGTGCAGCAGATTGAAAGATTTGAGTCTCTTCTGGGTGATATTAATAATAAATAAGTATGGTAGTGCTCATGTGGGAAAAAAATCCACACAAGTGCAGAGAGAGCTGTTTAAAAATACTAGGAAGGTTGATACAAAGAGTGGAATTGGTTAAAAACAGTGCACCAGACAATCAGCTTCAGTCAGTTGTGGCTGCTGCTTATACCTCCTGCTCTAAAGGCTTATATCTTCTTCCTGATAGTCTGTCTGTACATCTTTTAGCCCTGCTTTTCTGTGCTGCTGGTTTTTCCCTCACCATCAGTTGTCAGAGCATTTGCCCACTATTTCTACTTCATGGATACTGCTACTAGAAGTATCCTTAGTTCTTTCCTCCTTTCTCCACTTTGATTACCAACTCATCGCTGTGCTCTCACTTTCGGTATCCTACTGTTGTCGGCATGCAGCATTTCTTAGTAAATAGAAGCATACACTTGCCTCTGTCTTGCATCTCTGTCGCATTTTCCTCCTCCTTCCTCTCCCTGCACTGCTGTAAAATAAAAGTGCTTGGTCTTAAAATTGCTACTTCAGTTATTCCATTTAATGTCCTCCTTACATATGTGACTGTCCTTAAAACAGTACATTTTGGTCACTCTTTACATACTTCCAAGGTCTTATTCCCTGTAGTGCTGAATTGTTAACATTTTTTAGGCTTGCCTAACGGCAAGCAGCATTCCAGATCTCCATTTTGTATGCTGGCAGACAGAAGCACTTTCTCTAATAATAATCCTCCTTTTAGAGAGTGATACGGAATTTATTTCATGTGTCGCCTGTTTTGTTTTCCTGCACCATTTATCTCTCACGTTGGAAAGGGAATGGAAATGCAGAGATACAGGATGTAGGAAATGGAAAGTTAAAGATTTCTGGCAAGTAGTTTCAAATTATTCTTATCCCTGTTTACTTATAAGCCAGTTATTGGAATCTGTGAGAAATGGTACTCTGATCTGTGAATTGAGTTCCTGGCGTTTAGTCCAGAATGTATATACAAAGGTTTCTTGTTTCTTAACCAAGATTACACCCTTTTAACAGCAGAGATATTCGATAAACGTCACAGGTGTTTATTGGACTGTTCCCTCGGGCTTAAATATGCTGCTGGGCCCTGTATTGCCATGAACAACATATGCAGCCTCTGCCCTTCTTTATGAAGCTTGCAGTCTTTCCAGGAGACAGACACTGAAGAGTTACTTTAAAAATTAATTACAGTAGTGATAAGTGCTGTAAAGAGAAGAACAGGAAACCTTGCCTGGTAACTTTGAAACTTAGAGGAGGCCAAAAAATGAGCACAAGCAAGTTGATGGAAAGGGAGGATACTGTGTTAAGGCTCAGTGCAAGTAAATATTTAACTGCAAGTGAATTAATGCCTTTGCTGGAGGATTTTGCTATTTAAAGAAGTCTTGTGGCAGATTATTTCATAAAGTAATCTTTTAAGTAAAGCTAGATCTCCAGCAAGCCGCTTTATTTAAATGTAACCACATCAGCATTTTTCCTAAACAAAATATTCTGTGGCTCTTACAGAGTTCTACTAGAAAGAACTTTTGCCTCCCCAAAGAGCCACCTTCAAGAAAAATCTAGAAATCTTAGACACCATTGCAGGATGGTACCACTGGTTCTGTTAAACTTCCTGAAACTGGTCCTTCTATGGTTAACAGAGGTGCTGCAGATGAGCAGGGCAATTTGCCAAGCAAGTTACCTGTAAGACAATCTACTAGTTATTCCCAGTGTTCAATAACTTAACTCTGATGCATTTGTAAAGCTCCCTCTAAATGGATTTTAATATGAATGATTTTACCTTTTGTTTTTCCAAATTGATTTAAAGTAGCCAACTAATAGTTCTATTAATCTAGTTTATCCTCCACTTTACAGTTCCTCTGTCTGCATTCATCTTTCTTCCTTACTGACCCATCTCAGAAAAGTTTTTCTGTACTTTTCCAAAGTTAACACTTTTACTTGTGTCTGTAAGCCCAGTTAATTGGGGACTTTCTCTATCAGCTGTCCTTGCTTTTCCTCCATACATGGACATACTTAAAATTATCCTGTCATTATTTGCTTATCCCCCTCCACACACCCTCCCCACCTGTCTTTCTCAGATTTTAATTCATGTTTCCTAAACATGGTTCCTGTGGTATGCAGTTTAATTTTACAAAGTATAGGTAAGTTTTTTTAATTTTGTAATAATTAATGTTATATTAATGTTAAAATATTTAATGGTTTCATAGATGTTATAAAAATTACTCTAAGTTAAAGTTCTAATACTAAATAAAAATAATATGCATATTACAAAACTTGAAAACAACAGTTGCTTTAATTCTTACCCACACTAACCACCCGTAACATTTTCCCATGTTACCTTATAGATACAGTTTGATAGATCATAAACTCTTGGAAATACTTTTTTTTTTTTTTAGGTATTTAGTTACTTGACTGCACTGGGTCTTAGTTGTGCTGTGTGGGATCTAGTTCCTTGACCAGGGATCAAATCCAGGCCCCCTGCATTGGGAACCCAGAGTCTTAACCACTGGACCACCAAGGAAGTCCCTGGAAAGACATTTTTAATAACTTTTTCTCATTACAAAATACAGTGTTTATTGTAGATAGTCAAGAAAACAAAAAGAACATTCAAATCATGTGTAGTCCTGTCACCATAGATAACCACTACTAAATTGGGTATATGTCTCTCCTGTCATATATTTTGCAGAGTAGCATAATGGAACTCCAAGGTCAGGCTGACCCAGATTCAAACCCAGTTTTACTTCTTGATGCTTTGGGAAACCTTCTGGATTTCTTAGACCCAGTTTCCTTTATCTGCAGAATGGAACTAATAATAGAAACTACTTCAGGATTGTTAACTGGGGACTCAATGAGATAATGCCTATAAAGAATTTAGCCCAATTCCTGGCATGTATTACAAGAATTCAATAAATTTTAGATAGGTTTTTTAAAATTTAAGAATATATAGTCAAACTAAGGTTTTTTGCTTGTTTTGAGCACCTAGCAGGGAATGTTTTTAATGGCATTAAATAGTCCTTTGGGGACTTCCCTGGCAGTCCAGTGGTTAGGACCCTGTGCTTTCACTGCCGATGGCCAAGGTTCGATCCCTGGTCTGGGAACTGAAATCCCACAAGCCGCAGCACAACCAGAAAAGGGAAAAAAACAAACACTTCTTTAAAACCATGGTTTTTCAAACTTTTTAAGCAACAATAATCAAAATCTCAGGAGGACATCAAATAAGTAAATCAGTTAAAAGATGTCATTAAGAATTTTAATCCTTTATCATATATGATGTATATTAAAGCTGGATGTTGTAAAGTAGCATGGGAAAATGCTTTCAATGACAAGTAAATAAGTTGATTAACTTGGGGCATTTTTTAGAATCCTTTTTTGTTACTGGACTTAATGAAGCTCAGTCCCAGCATTTATAAATGCCTACATAATACAGACTGTCTTTACCTGCATGACTTAGCGGTGCCTCAGACTCATTTTCAGAGCTCAATTGTTTGTCTTCACTTACAAGCTTGTTTTTTCTTCTTACTGTTTCAGTAAATGGCATCACTATACCCGTGTCAGTAACGCTTAGAAGCGGGGTGTAAGCGGCTCTGACATCTTCAGCACAACATCTGTTAACTCTGCTTCCTCAGTACTCCTCCTTGTCTTCCTCTCCATTCTCACTGCCCCCAGCCTGCTTCAGACCCTTCTGGTCCCTCTCTTCAGTCTGCCTCACATTGTCTCAGATTAATTTCCTGAAGTACAGATTGCTCCCTCGTTTCAATCTTTTAGAACTTTTCTGTTGTCAGCCACACAGTGGTGTATTTTCCATTGTCTGCCTCCATCTTAACTGTTCAATTTCATATCCTACTGATCCCCATTATGAATTTTGTGCTACATCCAGAGCAAACTAGTAACCAACCCTAGCCCCAGTCCTCCAGTTCCAAACCTTTGCCCCAAGCCATTTCCTTTGATTACAATGCTTATTTTCTTTTCTCTGTCAAAACCCTCATTCAAGACCCAATTCATGAATAACATATATTAAAAACAAAAAAAAAACTACTGATTCATGTAATAATATGGTGACTTTCAAAAAGCCAAAAACAAAAGCATAGTGCTGCATGATTCCATTTCCAGTGAAATCCTGGAACAGACAAAAACTAACCTGTGGTAATAGGAATCAGAACAGTTGCTGGAGGGTGGGAGGAAGAGAATAGGCTAGAAAGGGACGTGAGCAAACTTAGGAGGGTGATGGAAATGTTCTCTCTCTAGTTTTGGGTAATGGTACGTGGGCGTAAACGGTTGTCAGAATGGATCAAACAGAACACCTAAGAGCTATGCATTTAGTTGTTTTGTTAATTATAACTGTATATTTCTTAGTTGCCCTAAGGTATCTATGACAAAGCCTCTTGTCATATGAAGAAGTTAAGTGCCTGAGTCCTAAATCAGAACGTTTTTTAATCTCCCTGAATTTGACACATTCTAATTTGTATACACTCACAGGCCTATCTTGCTCACTGGATTGGAAGCTTTCTGAAAGCAGAAATTGCCACCGGCAGACATTTGTCATAATCCCTAGACTCTTTGGCTCAATACAGAACTATTGAATAAATGTGTTCACACTCTTTTCCACTTGGGGGTTGGAGCAACCTGTAAGGAAACTTACAAAAGGGAAGATCTGGCTAATCAAAATTCAGGTAGTCAACTTCAGAGAAATTAAAATTTGAGTCTTTTTTTAACTTGTGTTTTTGATATTTAAATCTGCCTCAGTGAATAAGAAATATTACAATAAAGCTTCACTTGTTTGCTCATATTTAATTCTTATGACACCTGTGTGTGTTAACTTCTCTGAAATTATAACTTACACCTGAACAAGTAAATCTTTTTAAGTTATATTTTAAGTCATTGCTTTGAGGATGAAAACAAAAGTCATAACTTCACCAGAAATGGCATATGTGCCCTTTGTGCCACCAATTTCCCCATCCCAGCCCATGGCAGACTTCATCAGTTGTGGCATCTTTCCTGCTGAACCCAAGACTCATTCTAGATAGCCACACTCAAGGCGCTAGGATTTGGGTTGGGTGGTTGAGAATCCCAGAATTGGGGAGAAGTTGGGGGACTCTCCAGACAAACATTTCCTAGGTAATGGATTAGCCATATACAAATGAAACTATCTGTTGAAGACATTTCATTGTTTAAAAATGTGGAAAATGGTATCCGAAGTGTTAAGTTTTAAATTATTTCAGTTTTATTTTTAAGCACACAGAAAGAAGCTTAGACCAAGTTTTTAGATCTGGGAGTGGTTTTAGGAAGGCTGCACAAGCCCTGTGGCTCTTGGTTTTTTTCATTTGAAACAATTTGAACTGAATTGTCCAGCAGTATAATTCTGAAGTTTTACAATTCCAAGAATAGGTCATAAACCACATATTTGTAGTCAAATCATACGTTTAAGATTTAAGAATATAACTGAGGAAAATAAAAATAAATCAAAAATACTTTGATTAGCACATGTAGAAACGGTTTGAAAACTGGCAGGCGTGTCAGTTTTAATTGTTGTATAAATTCACACCTGTGGTATGAGCAGAATGAATTTAAGTTTTAAAGGAATAGCGCAATACTTCAACTTTGAATGAGGGAAACGATTTTTTTTTCCCTTATTACTCATTTTAGATTTAGAAGGGACTCAAAATCAACAAATCCAATCCTAATTGAGATGTGAAATCTTTTTTTTTAGCACCTTCTAGCCGTCATGGCAACTTCATCTGAAGAAGTTCTGTTGATTGTGAAGAAGGTGCGACAGAAGAAGCAGGATGGAGCTCTGTACCTCATGGCAGAAAGAATTGCTTGGGCACCTGAAGGCAAAGATAGATTTACCATCAGCCATATGTATGCAGATATCAAATGTAAGTCAGCTATACTAAGGTGTGATGTATGTTGTTTTTGTTAGTAATTTTATAAGGAGACAGGTTATACTATCTTTGTGGATTTTCTGTTGTAATGTCAAAAAATCAGTTGTATTGACATAATTACAAAGTGGGGTCACCGAATGTATATTATTCTATCACCTGCTTTTCCACAATAATAGAGTATGTACAACTTCACATGTAAATCTATCTCATGTGAAGCTCTCCACACATACTTTCTTTTTAAGAGTTGCCTAATAGTCCACTGGATGGAGTTAGTCATTTATTTAATTTATTGAAGGACGTTTAGGAAGTTTCCAGAATTTTGTTATTGAAAGCAGTGTTGTAGTATTGACCTGTGCACTAATATCTTTTTGAGTAGGTCATATGTATGGGATACACCTCTTCAGTGGACTTACTGGTTCAAATGGTTCATGCATTTAAAATCTTGATAGATGATGCCAGATTGCCCTTAATAAAATTGTATCATTTAAGTAAAGTTGTCTAATCTTTGGTGATGTGGCCATCATCTATTGAGAAAATAAGCTCAGTTTTATATAAAATGTAGATGGGAGAAATACAGAGCATAATATATTTATATCCTTTTTATGATTTTCAGGTATGAAAGCTAACATCAAAACCCCTTCTCTTTTCCAATTAAATTAACTTTGAATTTATTACCCAAAGGGTAAGGCACTTTGTGGCTCAATAATTAAGTTTAAAGGCACCAAGTGAATCCTGAGATTTAGAACCTTTACTCTGAAAGGGATTTCTGCAGTTCACCTATCTAAAAGATCTTGAATAGGAGGGATCCCAGGGGAGTCTGGGCAACAAAGCCCTTGACAAATTGTGTATCTTAACTGTGACCATTAATATGAATTCATTTATCTTCCTGGATATGAGATTCTTCTCCTAGATAAAATCCTTTGCAGATTTCAAGAAATATGACACTTTAAAACATAGATAGTCCTCAACTTGCAAGAAGTTTAATCATTCTGGCTGCTGCCCTTTTATCTTCCTCTAACGTGCATGCAGTCCAGGGAATTAAAAACTGGTTATATAGGGAACCAAGGTTACTTTTACTTTCATGTTCTTGGAAAACAACTTTCTGAAATTACAATTCCAACATCAGTTATTTTTACTGTTGTTTAAAGTTGTTGCCAGTACTAAATCCTAGACACATTCAGCAATACTAATATTCAATTTTTTTTAATTTTTTTAGTCTAATTTTATCTTGGTTTTATGTTGTCTTTGCCAAATTTATTAATGTCTGTTTTGTTATATCCTCTTTTCTTTCTTGTCTTTAAAACTTGTTTTGTGTTCATTTTCTTTCATTAATAACTAAAAAAAATCCTTTGAATTCCCTACAAATTTTATGTAGCTACCTATTGGCATCTTCTTAATTTGGTAATTATTCAGAGCACTAGATGTTATTACATCCACTGTCTATCTTGGAACTATCGTTATCTTAGTGATTGTGAGTTCAAAGGCATGAAGAATTGGCAAAGAACACTTCCTACAGACCTTAAAACAAGTTTTAATGTTGCATTTCTGTACATCTAATGCATACTATCTTCTTAGCCATTAATGTAATTCCTTTGGATAAAGATAATATATTCAGAAAATATTGGGACCAAAAATTGCACTTGTTTCTTGCCCATATATATATAGATGTATATTTTTTTTAATTTGGTGTTTGTTTATTTTGGTTACATTGAATATAGATTTGCTGAACAGTTTTGATGTCATTACTTATTTTTTTAATAAAATTTTTGAAATTAAAAAAAAAAAAGAGAGGTCAGTGTACAAAGGTCCTTTGTATATGAACAGTTTCCCGAAGGGCTTGCCTCTAATTTGCTGCTGGAAATGACCAAGAGCTTCATCTTTCTCCCCTGAAATAACTTAGTTTCTTAATTTCCAAAAGGAAATGCTGTTTAAAATTCATTATATTAATAACTCAGTACTGCCTGAGCTATCGTCTTTGTCCACTCTCCTGCCAACACTACTTCCTTTTAAAACTTTGTTTCTGTGGAGAAATGCCTCACCAAGTCTCTAATAATAATCTTGCAAACTAGCATTGGTTCTTCAGTAGCCTCACAAAATAGGAACTGCCTGTATTAGCACTTCTCTTAAACGGGAAGCCTGCTCTATACCTTTGCAAAATATAGACTTCCTATGATTCTCACAGCATGCAGTAGAGAACATGCCTATCCCCTATGTTGGGAGGAGAGCACATACCCAAATCTAGATGTGCATGAAATCAGTTTTCATTTTAAGCTGAATATTTGAAAGAATGCTCATTTCTGAAACAAGCCATTGGAAGTTTTCAGTAATAACATTACTAAGGTAAAAATCAGCAATTTTGTTAGTTAGAAACTTCAGAAGTAGGCCTCTCAGAGGCACAAGCTAAGATGGAGCAAGAATAAAGCAATGACTAAGAAAAGATACCTAGAAAGGAGTGATAGTTTGTTTTGGAGGAATAGAATAGTAGAACAGGCTGGCTGACAGTGTAAATGGCTTCATATTGCTACTTTTAGCAGTAAAGTATTTTATCTAAACTGTTGGTTTGGAAGCAACATCTTCATTGAAAACATTTCTCTTTATTTAAGTGTTAGTAGATTGCTTTACAAGGAGCTCTTAGTTATGTGTTCACACTACCATGATTCACGCATTTAGTAAGACAAAGCCCCTTCATCTGTTTGCCTCATGACGAAGACAAGCCATGAGGCCCACTTTTTAAGAATAAGGGATTTCTATTATGGAAGTATATTTTGACATTTCCAGCGCCAGCTTATTTCGAAAATCGTCACAGTTACAGAAAAGTTTAAGGAATGGTGCAGTGTGTATACCTGTAATTATATCCTATTTAAGTGTTATTACTTTGCCATATTTGTTTTATTATATGTGCACACACTTTGACTGTTCATGACATTATGACACCAAGAAAATTTTAATAACTATCCATAACACTATTGGATTTTTTTTCCCAGTTGTCCAAACAATGTTTTTTATAGCTGTGGGGGTTTTTTGTTTTTTTTTTTATCAATATCTGGTCTAGGTTCATGTATGTAGTTGTAGTCTCTGTAATCTCTTCTTTAGGCGTATGGACTTGTAGAATATCATACATTCTGATTATGTCAGATCAAGGTTTTATTTAATTATTTCCTGTATTTCTTATAAACTAAAAGTCAAGTCTACAGTCTTGACTATACTGAAGTTAAACATTTTCAACAAGAAGAGCACCTAAGTGGTGGTGCTGGCTTCCTGTTCTGTCACCTCAGAAAGCCCATAGTGTCAGATTGTCCATTTTTAATGCGGCTAAGTTTGATCACTTGATTTAAGTGTTGACGCCTGATCTCAAATGTAAAATTACATATTTCCCTTTGCAGTTATTAAATAAGGTATGAGCTATGTTTTGGAGTTTTTTGAATTATGACAAATCATTTTTATTAATGATAATGTCAGGTGGAAGCAGCTGTTGGTGGATTCAGGACTCCCGAGTTGGCTGTTTAGAAAGCTTTAAAGAAATCTGCTCAGTTGAGTGGAAACAAAAGCCCTTCAGCATCCAGAGGTGGACTAGTGGGTAAGACATGCCACATAAAAAGAATACTAAAGAAGGAACCTTAGTGTTACCAGTGAATTTGTTGAACCGTGCTCTGGTAATATGCCGTTATTTGAAAAGAGTAGATTTCTTAAGCATCGAGATTGGAATAGGGCAACTAAAGCCCGAAGAAAGCCTGAGTCTTCTTGGGACAAGCAGTAACTTATGTATGACTGTTTGCACAGTACGAGTGTCCTAATCTAACTAGCCTTGTGCTTCTCTTTAGGCCAGAAAATCAGTCCAGAAGGAAAAGCGAAAATTCAGCTTCAACTGGTCCTGCATGCAGGGGACACAACTAACTTCCATTTTTCCAATGAAAGCACAGCAGTGAAAGAGCGAGATGCAGTGAAAGACCTTCTTCAGCAACTGCTTCCCAAATTCAAGAGGAAAGCAAATAAAGAACTGGAAGAGAAAAACAGGTGAAGGAGGAAAAGAACAGCCTTTTAAAGAGACACTAGGTTCTTAGAAGTCAAGTAATAGTTTGTTATTTCTCACCCTTTGTGCTCTGATAGTGTAGTCTAGGAAAATACAGGCTTTGTTATCTTTATCTCTGTGTTTGGTTGGTTGGTTTGTTTTTTAAATTAGAGGAAAATTGCTTTAAGATGTTGTATTGCTTTTTGCTGTACAACAATGCAAATCAGCCATAGTTATACATGTGTTCCCTCCCTCTTGAACCCATCTACAGGGAAGGAAGGGAGATGCAGATGTAGAGAATGAACCTGTGGGCACAGTGGGGGAAGGAGAGAGTGGGACGAGTGGAGAAAGGAGCATCAGCGTATATACAGCGTCTTGTGTCAGATAGCGAGTGGGAAGCAGCTGTGTAACGTGGGGAGCTCAATTGGTGCTCAGTATGTTTGGTTCTTCAGCATCTTAGCTAACTTTGGCTTTCAGCAAATGCGATGAATTAGAAGTTAAACTAACTGCCTCAAGCCAAGTATCAGATTGGGAATAAAACTGTAATTCAAAGATGCCAAGGTCCCTTAATTCTCTGTCACAGAGAAGATACTAAGAAGTGTCTTTGTGAATGAGAAACCTGAAAAAGTCATACTAAGATGTTTAGAAAACATCTAAAATAACAAGAATTTCTGGGACTTCCTGGCAGTCCAGTGGTTAAGAATCTATGCTTCCATTGCTGGGGCATAGGTGCAATCCCTGCTCAGGAACTAGGGTCCTGCATGCGGCGTGGCATGGTGAAATAAATAAATAAATTTAAAATAATGAGAATTTCTGACAAGATGAATTATCTTTCTGTGCTTATAGCTCCGAGTGTTTATCACCATGAAAAACTTAGTTGGTAGAAAATCCCTCTTCCCCATTCAGCTTTTCGTGAAAGAAACCGCAGTACAGTACAAATGCAGCCTTTGTGTCTCTGGAATATAGGGATGAGTAGGACCCAATCCAAGCCCTCAAAGACTTTAGCCTTCGCTGCTTCAACTGCCTTCCATTTGTCTGCACTGGATTTCTTCCTCCAAAAATGTTTTTTTTGCTTTTAATTACTAACAAATGAAGTAAATGACCTCTGCTGCTCAGTCATCACAAAATGAAAATTGGGTGTTTTGTGTACCTAAGGTCTTTTTAGAATGCTACCTAAATGGTGTTTTATTCTAAAAGTTCAATATGTTGATATATTCTATCACCAGAATGCTGCAAGAAGATCCTGTTTTGTTTCAGCTTTATAAAGACCTTGTTGTGAGTCAAGTCATCAGTGCTGAGGAATTCTGGGCCAATCGTTTGCATGTGAACACAGCAGAGAGTTCTTCCACGTCTAACCATAAGCAGGATGTTGGCATTTCTGCAGCATTTCTGGTATGGACCCTTCTAGATTTCTAAAGAGGAAAAAAACCCTGGTATATGTGCTAATGATGCCATTTTTTCTGTAAAATTTAGTATTTCCTTAAAGTAAATTAACAGATACTTGAGTAGCCCTGATACTCTTCTAAAATGGACTTTTGAAAATGAATCTTCTAGCAATTGGACTAGTGCTTATTTCTTCTAATACTTTTAAAATAAGGGCTTTCAGATATCTTTTTTTCCTTTTTTAATGATTTCAATATTTTACCTATAATGTAAGTTTAAATGTAAAATGACCATCATGTTACAAAAAAGTAAAATCTGGGAACTTCTCTGGCAGCCCAGTGGTTAAGACTCTGCACTTACAATGCAGGGGACACTGGTTCAGTTCCTGGTCTGGGAGGTAAGACCTCACATGCCATGTCACATTATCAAAAAGTTTAAAAAAAAAATTTTAATTAAAGAAGATTTGTAAAATGTATCTTGAAAGGAAAGTTGAGAATACCGTATGTATGGAATTAGAAAGTGAGTTTCAGTCTATACTTTGGTAAAACCAAAGCATTATTTATACACTTAACAAAAATTTCAGTACCAGTTACATGTTTGGCCTCTTTCTGAGTGCTTAGCAGTGAATTGAATTAAGGCCTTTCTTAAAAATCAGATAATATGTTGTAACCAGATAGGTAAATATTTGGTAACTGTAAGCTATGTTAAATTTCCACTAGGTATCTGCCTTTGGCCACATTTAAATGTGTCTGTCTGACCATGTTGTGTTTTCAGAAACACAGATTTTACTGGTCACTAAAGTTATGTGAAGCAGGTCAGATTGATTTGACCCGTCTCTGTACCAAAAGTAAAGGCAAAGGATTTGTCTCTGTATTTCATTCAGAGAGTCTGTTTTTCATCCTTTCTCCTATGTCCATTGAGTTCTTAGACATCTTGGCCCAATACTCTTTAACAAATGTCTTTATTTTAGGCTGATGTCCGACCCCAGACAGATGGATGTAATGGTTTGAGATACAATTTAACATCTGATATCATTGAGTCCATTTTTAGGACCTATCCAGCAGGTAAGAAGAATCAGTTTTTTCATATAGTTAAAATATTTGTTTGAATGAATTCAGTGAAATATCTGAAAAACAAAAAGCTTACCTTTATTCCTGATAAAGTGCAGTAAAATATGTAAAGTGCTTTATCCAGTGCCTGATGTGGTAGATATTAAGAGCTTAGCATGTAATGTACTGACATCGATCCATGGGAATGATGACTTTCTCATTCCTTCCACTGGTGGTTCTTAAACTTTATTTACCCTTTAACATAACCTGAGTAGACTGACATACTCCAGAGGCATCAGTAAATGAGTGTGTACAGCACTAACTCAGATCGTCCTTCATGCTGCCTGCAGAATGACTTTTCTGACCCACAAATCATTTCCCTTGGAGAAATCATCCGAAGTATAAATGCCCTCTTTGAGGAAGACGCGGTCGCCGCTGCAGTGGAGCTCATTGCCGCCCGCTCTTGTTCCTGACTCAACGCTGTTCGCTCTCACCGAGGAGCAAGTCGGTCAGGAAGCTGCGCCACAGCCGTGGCCTGTAAAGACACCAGCAAGACCCCCATGGAGCCAGAGGTGGCCATTCACCGTATTAGGATCACACTCACCAGCCGCAGCGTGAAGTCTCTGGAGAAGGTGTGTGCTGACCTGATCAGAGGCGCGAAGGAAAAGAATCTCAAGTGAGAGGATCAGTTCGGATGCCTGCCAAGACTCTTGAGAATAACTACAAGGAAAACTCCTTGTGGTGAAGGTTCTAAGACTTGGGATCAGTTCCAAATAAGGATCCACAAGCAACTCATTGACCTCCACAGCCCTTCTGAAATTGTCAAGCAGATCACTTCCATCAGTATTGAGCCAGGAGTCGAGGTGGAAGTCACCATTGCCGATGCCTAAATCAACCTTTTTAATAAATCGATAATCAGTTGTTAAAAAAAATAAAGTATAAATGGTTTGATCCTAGCTCTAGTACAAGTGCAGCCGAGGTTGAGAGTGGTTACTGCAGTCTTGTTCTAACCACACAGAGCTCTCAAACCATTTTGTTCTCTCTCCCGGCTTCCTCAGCTTCTGCCCCTTCACTCCTCAGGACTCAGTCTCCTAGGGTTCACCTCAAGCATCACTTCATTGCCACTTCTGTAAAATCTGACTTCCTTAGACAGATGTACTCCCCCTCCCCATTCCATCTACAGGGCTGTGTGTCTTACCACATTATAATGTAGTTATTTTCTATTTTTCTGATAATATATAGTGTTTACTCTTTGTCAGACACCATTCTGAGGCCTTTATGTGTCTTTATTAATTGTCACAAATAATACCTATGAATTAGGTTATCGTTACCCCATGTTACAGATGAGGAAACCAAGATAAAGATTAAGTAATTTGTCCAGCATCACATTGGATAATAATTGGTGGACCTAGAATTTTAAACTCATGCTTTCCAGCTTAAGAGACCTTAACCTCTTAACTTAATCTCTTTGCTTATTAGACAACACAGGCTTCTGGAGTGCTAAATTGATAGTCCAGTGGGTTATGGAGATCTTTGTTTATTTCCCCAGCACCCAATATGGTGCTTTGGACTAAAAGTGTCCATATATAAATGATCAAACAGGCAAACTCAGGTCTTCCTCTTAATCTTGATGTTCCCAATAAAACTTTGAAACTTGAAGCTTATTAATTTTCTTGGTGCAAAATAAGGTTTTGTTTCTAATTTAAGATTCGTAAAGGTAATGTCTAATGTAATCTCTCAAGTGATGTTACAGTTAAATTATTGTTTGTAAAGTTGAATACTTTTATAATTTGGTTTTGCTCTTGGACTGTTTTTAAACTAATTTGAGAGATTTTAAGAATTGGAAATTCACTATGTAACTATTGTGGTTTTTATTCACAGTAAAAATGAAATATGCAGAAAATGTTCCCCACAACATGACAGAAAAGGAATTCTGGACACGTTTCTTTCAGTCCCATTATTTCCACAGGGACCGGCTGAACACAGGGTCAAAGGACCTCTTTGCAGAATGTGCCAAAATAGATGAAAAAGGTAATTGCTTATCCCTGACACTCTCTAGCATTTAATCTGCTGCTCTCTAGTCATCAGTGCCATTAGTGATTATTTTGCCTTCTGGGAAAGGTAAAACTTAATCAACTTTTTATTTCATTGGTTCTCTAGGGTTAAAAACAATGGTTTCATTAGGAGTGAAAAACCCGCTACTTGACTTAACAGCTTTGGAAGATAAACCATTAGATGAGGTAAGTAGTAGTAAAAGGATTTACAAGAGAAAATAGTCTTTTCCCAGTCTTCAACATTTGTATTTTAAAATTGCCTGAAGTATAGATGTTCTACTTGTGAGAAGGTAAAACAGAATAATGTTATTTGAAGTGGTTTATCAAAAGTGCTTTTTGATAGCACTATTCGTTATTAAGATTGCATGGGAGAACTGAAATTCCTCTGTGAGTTGGTAGAACATTTTTTACAAGAATTTTTTAACTCCCTTATCAACAGTTGTTTCAGTTCAGTTTAGTTCAGTTCAGTCGCTGAGTCGTATCCGACTCTTTGTGACCCCATGAATCGCAGCACGTCAGCACGTCAGGCCTCCTTGTCCATCGGCAACTCCCGGAGTTTACCCAAACTCATGTCCGTTGAGTCAGTGATGCCATCCAGCTATCTCATCCTCTGTCAAACACCACAGGTCAAAAGCATCGATTCTTCGGCGCTCAGCTTTCTTCACAGTCCAACTCTCACATCCATACATGACCACTGGAAAAACCATAGCCTTGACTAGACGAACCTTTGTTGGCAAAGTAATGTCTCTGCTTTTGAATGCTATTTAGGTTGGTCATAACTTTCCTTTCATGGAGTAAGTGTCTTAATTTCATGGCTGCAGTCACCATCTGCAGTGATTTTGGAGCCCAAAAAAATAGTCAGCTACTGTTTCCACTGTTTCCACATCTATTTCCCATGAAGTGATGGGACCAGATGCCATGATCTTAGTTTTCTGAATGTTGAGCTTTAAGCCAACTTTTTCACTCTCCTCTTTCACTTTCATCAAGAGGCTTTTTAGTTCCTCTTCACTTTCTGCCATAAGGGTGGTGTCATCTGCATATCTGAGGTTATTGATATTTCTCCCGCTAATCTTGATTCCAGCTTGTTCTTCTTCCAGCCCAGCATTTCTCATGATGTACTCTGCATAGAAGTTAAATAAGCAGAGTGACAATGTACAGCCTCGACATACTCCTTTTCCTGTTTGGAACCAGTCTGTTGTTCATGTCCAGTTCTAACTGTTGCTTCCTGATCTGCATATAGGTTTCTCAAGAGGCAGGTCAGGTGGTCTGGTATTCCCATCGCTTGAAGAATTTTCCACAGTTTATTGTGATCTACACAGTCAAAGGCTTTGACATAGTCAAGCAGAAATAGATATTTTTCTGGAACTCTCTTGCTTTTTGGATGATCCAGTGGATGTTGGCAATTTGATCTCTGGTTCCTCTGCCTTTTCTAAAACCAGCCTGAACATCTGGAAGTTCACGGTTCGCGTATTGCCAAAGCCTGGCTTGGAGAATTTTGAACATTACTAGCGTGTGAGATGAGTGCAATTGTTTGGTAGTTTGAGCATTCTTTGGGATTGAAATGAAAACTGACCTTTTCCAGTCCTATGGCCGCTGCTGAGTTTTCCAAATTTGCTGGCATATTGAGTGCAGCACTTTCACAGCATCGTCTTTCAGGATTTGAAATAGCTCAACTGGCATTCCATCACCTCCACTAGCTTTGTTCATAGTGATGCTTTCTAAGGCCCACTTGACTTCACATTCCAGGATGTCTGGCCCTAGGTGAGTGATCACACCATCGTGATTATCTGGGTCATGAAGATCTTTTTTGTACAGTTTTTCTGTGTATTCTTGCCACCTCTTAATATCTTCTGCTTCTGTTAGGTCCATACCATTTCTGTCCTTTATCAAACCCATCTTTGCATGAAATGTTCCCTTGATATCTCTAATTTTCTTGAAGAGATCTCTAGTCTTTCCCATTCTCCTGTTTTCCTCTGTTGCTTTGCATTGATCACCAAGGAAGGCTTTCTTATCTCTCCTTGCTATTCTTGGGAACTCTGCATTCAAATGGAAATATCTTTCTTTTTCTCCTTTGCTTTTCGCTCCTCTTCTTTGCACAGCTATTTGTAAGGCCTCCTCAGACAGCCATCTTGCTTTTTTGCATTTCTTTTCCATGGGGATGGTCTTGATCCCTGTCTCCTGTACAATGTCACAAACCTCCATCCATAGTTCATCAGGTACTCTGTCTATCAGATCTAGTCCCTTAAATTTATTTCTCACTTCCACTGTACTGTCTAGGTATTAATAAAGGTTTAACACCTGTTTTATGCTGTATCTAAGTAAGTGTGAAAAAATATTAGATAGGGAAAAGATGATAAACATCGTTGGTTGCCCACTATTTACCAAATGCTGAGCACAGTCATGACCCTTACTCCACATTAGCCCCATTTTGTTTCAATAGCTGGACCATCAAGTATGAGCTACCTACCTCAACATCATAACTCCAGACTTAGAAATTCATCCAATGCTAGAGAAGTAGGTGATCCATTCTGATCAGAGCTAATTCTGTCCCTACCTCATCTTCTAGTCTAGAAAGGACCTTGCCTTCCTCAGTTACTCTCTGGACACTGTTAACTTTTAGTGCCCTTCCTTTCATTTAATTTTTATTTTCTTGCTTTCCTTTGGCTCCTTTTCTATTGACATTTGCTCATATCTTTTTTCTCTTAGTGTATGCATGCTCCAGGTGAGAAAACCAATGTTAAAATTTCATCTATAGTCCAAAGTATTAAATTAACAGAAAATAACCCTTGGTGCCCCAGTGAGTTGTTCGCCTAATGAAATTCAGTTGTTTTCTTGAAAATTCTCAGCACTCATTCACTTGGTGAATCTCAACACATTATAAACATAATCTCTTTAATCACCCTGAAAAAATGAAGCAAAATAAACCACACAGCTGTTAAGTACATTGACTTTAAAACCAAACTACTTGGTTTTAAACTGTAGATTTTTTTAATATTTCTCATATCAATTTTCTTATAAAATGAGGTTAATAGCTCTGACCTTGAGGAGAGGTAGGAAATTTGGAGAGGTGTTGTTTAAGGATACAAACTTATAGCTAGTAGATCATTTTTGTAGACCTAATGCACAGCATGGTTGACAGTAGAAACCTCAGGTTGCTCAGAAACTAGATCTTACTTCTTAGTAAGAGAAACGATAATTATGTGACATAATAGAGGTATTAGCCACACTGGTAATCATTTTGCAATCTGAAATCAACACATTGTAAACCTTAAACTTACACAGTTTACTTTTTTTATTATTTACATTTTTAAAACTATCCATGTTGTATTCCCTTGCATGGATATGTAAAAATTTATAAAACCAAACCTTTTAATAAAAATGCTGGTTGATTCAATTTTTCCCTCCTCTTTGCCTATCATCCTCTAGTAATTCTGTCCCAAGATATGGACTTGGGGTTCCTTGTAATTACATTCTTTCTGTTCCATTGATAAAAATATCAATACTAATTGTGTAATGATGACTCCCAATTAGTCCTGGTCTGGCTAACCCAAGAAGTCCAAAATCATATGTCCAACTCCCTGCTTGGTATCTTCATTTAGGTTGTTTCCACACACCCCTCAGCATAACATGTCCAAAATGGAGTCTTTGATTCCCATCCTCAAAAACCTATTTCTTCCTGGCCCTTCCCTATGCTAGTTAAAAAAAAACAAAAACAACATTAGCATGGACTCGGTTGTTCAAGCCAAAACCTAGTAGTCTCCTTGACCCCGCCCCTTTGTCGACCTCCAGCATTCAGTTCCTCAGCAAGTGCTCTACATCTCAGAACTGTCTGCACAGACACATTAGCCTCCTAATTGATCTTGGTTTTGTTCCCCATAGTTTACTCTTCCCTAGCAGTACGAGTTATGAATCAGATCATAATGTTCCCCTATGTAAAAACTTTCTCAGGGGTTTCTCATTGAACTTAGAATAAAATCGGAACTACTACCAGGCTCTTAATTTGGCCTCTGCATACTCAGTTGGGGCTGTTTCTTGGCCCACCCTTCATTCAAGGTATACTGAACTGCATACAAATCCATGACACAGTATGTTTTGCATTATTCCTATACCTTCTGTTTCAAGCAGTTTCTTCTTCCTGAAATGCTGTTCAGTGTTTGCCTTGCAAGCACCTACCTATTCATCTTACGGTGCTCCATGGAGCTCTTTTGAACCTGCCCTCCCCCCCACCTCTAATGGGATTGACCACTTCTTTCGTAGCACCTGTAAGTTTTAACTTAAGTGTAATGGCTTACAGCCCAGCATCCCACTAACCAATATTTTAATGTTTTGCTAACTAGTCCAAAATTGCTCCTTAGGGGAAAAAATGCAGCACTTAGCAATTAAGATATTTTTGTGATACTGAAAGCAGTTAGTAGCATTTTTAATCTTTTTGTGTGTGTATAATGTTACTTATTTTTAAATTTTTACCTGTAAATATTTTTTAAGTTCTATATCCAGAAAATTTTTTCAACTCAACAATATCTCTACTAAATTGTTCCTTGCAGGGCTATGGCATTTCCTCTGTGCCATCTACTTCTAATTCTAAATCCATCAGAGAGAATAGTAATGCTGCCATCATCAAGAGATTTAACCATCACAGTGCCATGGTCCTGGCAGCAGGTCTCAGGAAACAGTTAAGTACACATGCAAAGGTGCACTCACTGGGTTTTCCATGATAGCCAGTTGGAGTTTTGTTGTTCTTCCTGTAGTATTTAACATTAATTTTTTTCCCTTTGTTTTCAGAGAAGCACAAAAGGAGCAAAATGGCGAGCCCAGCAGCATTGATGGACATTCCGGAGATGTAGATTGCCTTCAGCCAGCAATCAAAAGGGTATGAGTAAAAAGTCTGGAATGCTTATGGCTCAGATTTCTCCAGATATATGTTATGTAACTGACAGTACCTTATGTTGACCCTTGATAAGTTCATAGGGCTTTAGTTCTTCTGGCCAAGCTGTTAAATATTAGGCTTAAAAAATACTTCCTCAGTTTTGGCTTACCAGCCTACTTTCCAGGGACTCAAGTCTGTTAACTTTTTATTATTTTATTTATCTCCTTCACCTATAAACACACATAAATGTTAACACATAGTTTTATTTTCTGGAAGAGTACCCAACAAAGGCAATATGACAGAAAGAAAAAACTAAAGGTTTGAGTATTTGATTTAAAAGGTAAGATTTGGCCCTCATGTTACACCTAGCATTTTAGAACTGGAAATGTCTTTCATTAAATACTGAAGATGGATTGTGAGGGAGTATGAACAGTTACCTACTTGTATATTTCTTCTCTGTCTGCAACTTTGCCAAGCTTCTGTATCCCTCAATTTTAAGTTCCTCCCTCATTATAAAAATTAAAACAAGGCTTTCTTAGAGGGCGATCAGGCAATATAGTGCATTAAATTTTTAAAGGTTTATACCCTTAATTTCACTTCTGGACAGTATTCCACTTGGGACCTTTTTTTTTTAAAGATATGTGCAAAGATTTAGATACAAATACACTGACAGTATTATAATTGAGAAAATAGCAAACATCATGATATTCGTGATACATCCCTACAGTGGAGATTGATGCATGCAGCAAATAATGACTACTTTAAAGTAAGTTCACATATACCGTAACAATAGTTCACTTCATTAAAATTAAAGAAACCATTTTTTAGTTGCCTTACATGCCATATTAGGTGGCAGGAAACAAAAATGAGTAAGACTGGGTTTTTGTCCTCAAAGAATTTAGTGTCTATAGGTAAAACAAAAAAGAATAATTGTAAAACAGAATTTAAAGTATAGTAATTTTTTACAGTAGGAACCAGAGAGTGAGTAAGTAGATAAAGTTTGCAGAACTAATATGATACAATTAAGTTTATGAACTTTAAGAGATTATAGGTCCTTTATGTATTTCAGTCACCTAATATGTTTCTACAGGGATATACACCTTTAAAATTAACAAAGTAAAAATTTCTTCTCTGAAATAAGCAAAGTGAAGCTAAAATATAAGCCAGAGATGCTAAAAAGAAATCTAGGAAGTGATTCTTTGCAGTATTGCACTGAGTACCCTTGATTCTTGGTAGTGATGAAATTGTCAAAAATCACTGAATTTTCACAATATTCAATGATAAACTGACTCAGGATGTTCTTTCATGTCAGTAGTTGTCTGCTGTGTGTTCCACAAGGGATTTATAGAATGAGAGATCCTGGAATAATAATAGACAGAGTCCTCATATTCATGGAGCTTTCAGTTAAGTGTGAAAATTAGGTGGATGACCAGGCCTTGGCAAAGATTTAGGATTTGGATTTATACAAGAGGTTGGGTCAGGACATGACTTAAATCAGGCAGCAGCAGGCATAGAAATGAGCTTGACATATGGGAATGGTAGTGAAAGACATCAGTATGCCTTGAAGTTGACTCAAGGGTATAGAGATGAGAAAGTAGTAAAAACACGCTGAGTCTAGGTGAGGTGGGACTGATTGATACATTACTCTGAATAGCATGCTAAGGTCAGATTTGTTCCTATACAGTCCAGGAGAAAGCACATTAGTAAAACCAAAATAAAGAATGCAGACGTAAACCCAAGTACATGGAGGGATTAAATACATAGATGATAAACATGGCATTTCAGAATCAGTGGGGAAAGATGTTATTCTACAAATGGTGTTGGAGGACTGATTAATAATAGTTTTTAAAAAACTGCCTTATTCCTTATTTTACAATAAATTCTGTTGGATCAAAGTTTAAGCAAAAAAAAAAAATCCACAGAAGAATAGGCATAAAGGGAATAGTTAAAACTGAGAAACACCAAAGTGGGGGCAAAAAGTATTTGCAACACATGTAATAAAATTAATTTTTTTAATTTAGTTTGAGTAAAATAAACATTTTCATCTATCAGATTTTCAAATATTAAAGGTTTAATGATGCATAGTATGGTCAGAGTATAGGAAAACAGTTATTCTGTTAAGTGGTTATGAGAAAATAGGTTCAGCTATGTGTAGAGGGGACACATGTAGGAAGTGCAGCAATAAAAAGTGTTGTGTTGATAATTATAGGCGAAGTTACAAGAATCCATTGAATATGAAGACTTGGGAAAAAATAATTCCATAAAAACAATTGCACTAAACCTCAAGAAGTCAGATAGGTAAGTTTGGTGACTATTAAATTAATTTGAAGCAAAATAGTTTTATATCACAAGTTGGTACAGAGTTTATTCTGCAAGTGTAGTATTCAAGTTTTTATCAGTTTGTTACCATAAAACATAGTATTGTATTTCTTTAAAAAGTTACTTTGTACATCTCAGGAAAGGATCCTAAGTGATTGAAGCAAAGAAAATAAATTTTAGCTATCTGCTGTTCTCTTCCTATTACCCTTATTGGAATTAAGTTATTTAATTGAAATGTCTTTAACTCTTTACTTGGAGGGAATGTTGTATGGAGACTGCTAAAATATTGGAAAGACAAATATTGAGCACCCTTATTCTGTGTGATTAGTAATTTCTTGGCTAATCTTCAGGTATTATCATGGTCCAACTCCAATCCAGTCGCTGCAGTATGCAACCAGTCAGGACATTATTAATTCCTTTCAAAGTATTAGAGAAGAAATGGAAGGTTACACGCCCAGGTTAACTCAGGTGGGTGACTTGTACGGTTTGAAAAACAGAATTCCCAGTTACTTCCTCAGTTTATGAGCACATTCATATTTATAAAACTCATACTTTACTTGGGGTAAAGACATATTTCTGCTTAATAAATTGAAAAAGTCAAGTAAATGAAGTATTTGGCATACCTGAAGTTCAGATGATAATGAAAATAAGATAATGAGTTTTGCGGTTGCTAATTTTTTTTCTTACAATATACAGTTTTATTGGAAAAATCTCCCAGATTTCCAAAAAATTTCTGGACATCATTCTGTAGATATTCTTTGTTTTTTCCTGCCCTTAGACATACTTCAGTTGATCAGCAAGTTCTGTCAGTTCAGTAATTCTTGACTCCATCACCTTGAGTTAGGTAAATGGGACAGGTTTTCAGCACGGCCACTGCAAGTTATTTAATAAAAGCATGATTCCAACCACATCACTCTGCAACTTAAAAACCTTTGCTGCCTCCCTTTCTTCTCATAGTAACTATCTGGATGTTCTTTGTCTGACTCGCCAAACCCTACAGTCTGACCCTAACCCACATCTCTAGTCCCAACTCCAGCCATATCTCCACCATTTCCTTCCCCACATAACTTAAAAAGAGTCCTGTACTCCAGCCTAACACACTATAAACTACCCAGAAGTTTTTAATTATATCATCTACATGCTTCCTGTGCTTTTTCTCATGCTTTCTCTCTTAAGAGTGTCCTTTGCCTGTTTCTGTGTCAAGGAACAAATAGTAATAATTCAAAATAGTTCAAATTCCGTTGTCTCTGTAAAGCAGTCCTCAGCTTGCCCAGTAACAAGTTATTTTTTCCCTTTTCTCTGTTTTCATAAACACTCAGACACTTGAGCTGAAACCTGAATTGTAGTGCTTATCACATATGGGGACTTACTTTTTAAACCTTTAACCTTGAAATAATCTTAGATTTACAAAAAGTTACAAAAGTTTTTAGACCCATTTTGAAGGTAGATCCCTTTGTGAGCATGCTGCGTTGCTTCAGTCATGTCCAACTCTTTGCAACCCTATGGACTGTAGCCCATAGGCTCTTCTGTCCATGGGATTCTCCAGGCAAGGATCCTGGAGTGGCTTGCTGTGCCCTCCAGGACATCTTCCTGATCCAGGGATTGAACCCTACTTCTTAGTCTCCTACGTTGGCAGATGAGTTCTTTACCACTAGCGCCTTATTACATCTAAATAATCAGATTTATTACATCTAAATAACACAGTACAGTTATAGAAACAGTAAGTTAACATTGTTTAAGTCTTATTATCTAATCTGTATTCTTTAAAAAAATTTTTTTTTTCTTTATTTGGCTGTGCATGGTCTTTGGAGAAGGAAATGGCAACCCACTCCAGTATTCTTGCCAATAGAATTCCATGGACAGAGAGGAACCTGGCAGGCTGCAGTCCTAGGATCACAAAGAATCTACATGACTGAGCAACTAACACACATGGTCTTAGTTGAGGCACTCAGGATCTTAGTTGTGGCGTATGGGATCTAGTTCCCTGACCAGGGATCATGCCCAGGCCCCCTGTATTGGGAGCATGGAGTCTTTTTTTGGCGGGGGGGGGGGGGGGGGGGGGGGGGGGAGCATGGAGTCTTAGCCATTAGACCACCAGGGACGTCCCTAACCTATATTCTTGGAAAAATTTCACCAATTGTACCATTAATGTCCCTGTAACAAAAAAAAAAAAACTTTTGATCCAGCATCCAAATCAGGTTCATGAATTACATTTGGTTCTTAGGTCTCTTTAGTTTCCTTTACAGTGGAGTAGTTTTTCAGTCTTTATCTTTCATGACCTTGATGTTTGAAGAGTAGGTCAGTTTTTTGTAGAATGCCCTCAACTTCAGTTTCTCTAACATTTTCTCATGATTGGATTTCATTTTTGGCAAGAATTCCACCAGGTTGATGTGTAAGTAATATGTCATCCTTTGTGCATCATATGAGGAAGCACATGTTTATTTGTCCTGCCTTGCAGTGTTAACTTTGATCATTTGGTTAAGGCACTACCTATCTGATTTCTCTGCGGAAAACTTACCTAATTTTCCCTTCATAATTATTAAGTATCTTGTGGGGAGATACTGGGTAACTGTTTTGTTTCCCCTCAAACTTTTACCCACTAATGTTTTAGAATCTGTTGATGATTCTTGGTGAAAACAGTTATTACCATAGTGATAGGTAAATGGTGATTTTCTAATCCTATCCTCCCATCAGTTAACCTTCTGAACCTCCCTGACTCATTCATATTTATTCACGTTTCTTCATAAGCATGGATTTTTATATTCTGTGGGTTATAAATTGTTGCTGTCCTTTTTTTTTAACTGAAATATCTTACAGTAAAATTTACCTTATCAGTATATTCTTTTGAATTCAGTGTGTATATACAGTCATGTAATTACCAACACAATCAAGATAAAAAGCAAGTTTTGTCACCCCTGAAAAGGTACCCTTGTGCCTCTGTAGTTAGACCCTTTCCACGCCCTTTATACTGGCCGCTGTATCTTTCTGACAGTATCGTCATCAGTTTTGGGTCCCTCTTTAGTTTATGGCACAATGAGATACTCCAAATTCATCTTACTCTGTCCCTGCTTGCCAAGTGCTGAGTAGGTTCAGAAACCAAGATCTGAGTACTAGGTGGGATGTCATTTGCTACTGGTCTCCTTGTCCTGTTAGTGGACAAAGCAAAGAAATATGTGTTGTACATACTTGTGCTCACATAACAAATATGGGATTGCTTGACTGCATCTTTCCTTCTAGACTATAGGCGTCCAGCATTTGGCCCTTGGGCCAAAGTAGTTCCACCTAACTTTTTTTTTTACATTTATTTATTTAGTTAGTTCAGATTTGGAAAAGCACTTATTTTGTACAAGTTCTTTTTATTGTATATAGTCAATACTAACTTTTTTAAGCTGTGGTTAGTTTAGATTTTTCCCTCCAAAAAGTGATTTGATTATCTGAGACACGTGAAGAGATTATCTGCCATCAGGTATGTATATCTGAGGGTAGCCAGTGACTAGTCAGCAAGTTTAGCAATCCCTGAAACTTCTGGTTACAGTGCATTATAGCACTTTCTGACAGAAGAAAATAGGAATCAAGTGAACTTTCATGTCTCCTTGACTCATAGTTGAAATGTAATGTGCTCTTTACACCAGGTTAAGTATTTTGTTTTGTTTTTTCATCCAGCCCATACATGCCTGGATTTCTACTTGTAAAACACACTAACCCTGTGCATGAGCTGTTCAGTGAATGATCTGTTCCTCGCTGTGGCTGGTCCTTGGTACTTGTTAGGCACTCATTGAAGAGAAACATCAGTTATGTCCCTGAATGTTCATGTGGATACAGTGGGGAATGTAGGTTTTTTCCCCCTTTTCGCAATGTATATCCACTTCCTTGAAAAATGACAAGTGATATATTTCTACTTTGCTGGATTTTCTTACGTCAGCTGCCAGCCAGGGTTTATCATTTGTTTTTTTGATGTTTTTTCTTTCCTTAAACTCACCTTTACCTTCAGTGCTAAGAAGTTGGTACTTAAGAAAGAGCTTGGCTATATCACTTATATGTGGACTTTAAAAAATAGTACAAATGAACTTATTTACAAAACAGAAACAGACTCAGACATAGAAAACAGACTTCTGGTTACCAAGGGGACAGTGGGGGCAGCGGTAGGGGAGGCAGGAGCACCCTGGGAGTGTGGGGCCAGCAGGTGCACACTAGCAGAGAGTGGAGAGAGAACGTGGTTATACACAGAACTGAATCAGCTTGCTGTACGCCTGAAGTAGCACGGTATTATCAATCATCTACACTCTTTAAAAGCTTGACCAGACAAAAGGGTGTGTATTTTGAGGTACCTGTGAATTTGTCTGGTATTCCTGGAAGATGAGTAGGTATTCTAGTAGCCTTCTGGGAAGTAATTCACTCTGGTTGCTGTGGATTGTGTGTTAAACATTTGCTGTTAAACTGCAATGCTTTCTTCATTGCTTTCAGGTTCTCTCCAGTAGTGCTGCCAGTAGCACCATCACAGCCCTGTCCCCTGGAGGAGCACTGATGCAGGGAGGGACACAGCAAGCCATAAACCGTACGTGCTGGATCTCCTCTTGCTATCCCTTACCTAAAGCAGCTCTGAAGAGCAATTAGAGAAGAGTGCTGAAGTTGTATTGGTTTTCCTTTGGAACATTTCCGGGATCTGTGTTTTGTTTTTATGCATCCAGATCCTGAAGCATACCTAGACAAGAGCTTAATGTTTCAGTACTGTTTTAATATTACAAACAGTGGCACATTGCTATGTCATACTAAAAGGTTTTTTCCCTCTCCTACCTCTTAAAGCAAAACCTGAAAAGTCCTCTGAAACCGCAAGGGAATTAGTGTCAGCCACAAAACCACTAACTTAGAATAGCACATCCAGGTTTAACATTGGCAGAGTGCACATTCACATTTATACTGTGACTGTAAATTCACATTCTCTCAGAGACGTGGGAAAATAGCTTTTATTCTGTGAACCTCTTTTTCTTTTGCAGAGATGGTGCCAAATGATATTCAGTCTGAATTGAAACACCTATATGTGGCTGTTGGGGAACTTCTACGGCACTTCTGGTCCTGTTTTCCTGTTAATACGCCATTCCTAGAAGAAAAGGTTAGAACTGATCCCAAACACAGCCAGCTGTTGTGATAATGTGAATTACTGAGGTGTTATCTTGAAGTTAGAAAACTGTACTGAACGTTTACTATATGCCAAACGCTATTTTGCCTATATTGTTTCACTTAAGCCTCACAGTTTCCTCATGGAGTAGGTATTGATACCCATTTTGTAAAGAAACTTGAGATGCAGACCAGTTCCATAACTATTAATTGTACATCTTAAAACTTAACTATCATTTTTCTGTACACCAGAAACTAACACAACATTGTTAAGTCCACTATACTTCAATTTTTTAAAAATTGTAATAACTTTACTATATAAATCATCTTACAGACAATCTTTAGGGACTCTCCTGGTGGTCCAGTGGTTAAGAGTTCACACTTCCAATGCAGGTAGTATGGGTTCATTTCCTGGATTATGTTTAAAGCTACAGAAAAAGTGCATTTTCATCTATAATTTGCTAAAGAATAAAAAATTTGAAATAATGGGTATTGGACAGGTTGCTGAGAGTCCTTTCTTCTACTGCTAGTACTACCTTTTTAAAATATGCTTTGGAAAAAAAAAAAATGCTTTGACCCAGAAATTCAACTTTTGGATATATAAGAAAATAATAATTAAGAATGAGTATATGCAAATATTGAGCCATAGAGATGTTTCTCTACCACTGTCTGTGTTAGAAATGGTCTGAGATCTATCAGAAGGGGATTAGTTAAAGATACATCAATTTAAATGATGACCTAATACTTAATGACTTAAAGATATTCACATTAAACCAAGTGGAATTTTATAACAGTATATACTGCATGTTTTCCACATACACGTTTATACACATGCACAAAAATATCAGGAAGGATAGGAATTATGAACCAAAAAAATCTAAACTTATGCTTCTCTGCCTGGTGGAGCCAGTAAATCTTAAAGAAAGAAAGTAACCTTGTGTATATTTTTCCCTTGATCTCTATAGGTTCTTGAGAGTCTAATTCATTATTTCTGTCATCTTTTTTAGGTAGTGAAAATGAAAAGTAATTTGGAACGATTCCAAGTTACAAAGCTCTGCCCATTCCAAGAAAAAATTCGGAGACAGTATTTAAGCACAAATGTAAGGCAAGACTCTAATTTTGGCCTGATTTTTTTTCTCTGTAGTAAAATGATGAAATTAACTGTTTTCCTGTAATTGAGTATATATGTTGTTATTTATGTCACTGGGAGTCCTGTTTTTTAATTGTAAAATGTATCATACATTCATAAGTGTGTAAAACACAGTTGCTTTTTTAAGCAGTAAAGCAGGTGTCTCTGTGCTCGCCAAGCGTGGTGAGAAATAGCACCGTACCTCGGGCGCCCCTGTCCGGTTGCCCACACCGCCTTCACACTCTCTCAAGGCCATGACTAACCCAGCATTTGTAATAATCATCTTCATGCTTTTCTATATAGATTTACAACCTATGTATATGTTCCTTAAAATGTTTATTTTGAAAACCTGAATATCAAGTTACATTCTAGCAGTACAAAGAAAGGCAGAATTGCCATTCTGTGAAAGTGAGCTAGAAAATTCCTGGGTTATGGCCTGCCTTCAGCTTCCCTGGTTGACAGCAGGGCAGCAGCGAGGTGAGGAGTGAGAAGTGTCACCTGCACCCAGGGTTTTTAATGTTTTTAATGCGAGGCTAGAGCAACCACGCAAGATTGTTTCTCCCATCCAAGTACTAACCAGGCCCGACCCTGCTTAGCTTCCGAGATCAGATGAGATCGGGCGCGTTCAGGGTGGTATGGCCGTAGACAAGATTGTTTCTCTGTGTGTAATGCAAGTCTTCCCAGAGATGACTAGGAAAAAAGTAGCATATAAAACTATTTTTGTTCAGTGTGTGAGTAGGGTAATCAAAACAGGAAGTTTCAGAGTTGAAGGCTGAAAAATCTTCATTAGTAATATTTTCAGTAAGTTTTTATTCCCTAAACTTTGGGTGTTTTTTTTTCCTCAAAACATAATATTATTTATAATTAGAAAAGAAGCTTGAAGTACCTTCCCACAGCAAAACAGTGATCTCAGGTTTCAGTTCATGTGCCTTCTCATTTGATTGTAACTGCCTGGAGCACTGTAAAAAAGATTCTGGTAAAAAGAATTCTGAGGCTCTGAGCAGCCTTACAGGAGGCTGTGGTGGTCATCTCTTCTAACTGGTACTGTGGAAACATTGTGGCCTGTCAAGCAGAATAAATGAGTTTTATGCAGTTTACAGACAAAAGTAAGTAACATAACACTCCCCTACACAAACACACTTAGTGATAACAGATGTGGTAAGTAAGGGTTTGTTTTGTTTGTTTTTAACTCTGCCTCAGATTGAATCCAAATTGTTGGCATGCTATAAGGATTTAAGCCTTCCTGTTCTCTGTCTTCATACTGCCAAAATTGACTTGGAGACTTTACAAAAATTTTACTTCCAACAATGTAAGTTACACTGTCCAATTCCAAGGAAACAGATAATCCAAGGACATTCTGCCTCAGGAGTCTTTTATCAGCTTAGATCAGTGTGATCCTGATGACTTCTAGTTATGTCTATAATGAGGGCAAAAAATTTTTTCTCCTGAAGGTACATAGTCCTGACCTAAGGGGTTTCATAGTACTTGTGTGGAGCTTTAAGACCAATTATATTTTTCTATAATCTACTGAATTATGTGGAAATCCTGAAGTATTAAGAGCTGGGAAAGACCTAGAGAACATAGAAAAGTGCCTCTCCAGCTTGGCTGTTCAGCAGAATTAAGCTCAGAAGCTTTTGAAAATCAAAAGATTCCTGGGTATCATCTCAGACCTGCTGCCTCAGAATCTTCAGGGGAGTAGGGCATTCTTTATATTTTCTCTCAGATAGTGTTGATGCCACCCTCGGGATCTTACTTAGAAGTCTAATGTTTAAATCTCAAACTCACCAGTTTAGTTCACCTGTCTGATCTGACAGAAGAAGCCAAGGCCTGTAACGCTGGCTTTCCTGTGGTTCTGTGGCTGGTTAAAGACAGGGCAGGCAGAAGCCTAAGCAGGCCAGGTGAGCTTCCAGCTCTACTGTACACCACCCCATCCCTCTTACCTTCCTGTGCGAAGTGTGTCTGAGAATACCTTCCCAGAGGGCCTGCATGTTGCCTTGTTGGGGAAATAAAGCTTTGCAACTGCGCTCTGAAATATGTACCAGATCTGAATCAGAAGCATCAACCTCGCCAGCCATTAGCCTGTTGTTGCTTAAGGGTAAGGGTCTTATGTTTGTTTTTCAGTTGGTTAGTCACATAGAGGAGATGCTCCAGACAGCCTACAACAAGCTCCACACGTGGCAGTCACGGCGTCTGATGAAGAAAACGTGAAGTGTCCGCAGCTCTCACAGGTTTTGTGAGGCTGAGAACTGTGGCCTGCAGTAACTCTGGAAACCTGGCCTGACAGACATGCAGGTGATCACACAGAAGTGATGAGAAACATCTGCAGCACACCGACTCTTGGAGCTGATGCTGTTGTACTTGCACATTGAGAACTGAAAGGAAAGGAACTGTGATTAAACTAAAAGCTGGGGAAGTAAATTAAGGCAGAACCAAAATGAGCTAAGTTGCAAATATATATATATATATTTTAAAAAGACACTGTTTACTGCAGTTACTCAGGAACTGCTTTTGATTCACATTAAGCTGCTTTCAGAAATTAAAAAAAAAAAAAACACTTTTTAAAAGGGTGCATTGATAAATCTGAGGGTTTTTTTTTTTCTGTGTAAATTTTTTTCTTAAGTTTATGGCACAGGGTACACCTTAAGTATTTCTCCTCCATCTTCCACTTGGCTCCTCAAGTTTTGCTGAATTCTAGCTATACCTTACATCAGCAAGTTAAAGAGAGTACTTTAAAAAAAGCAGAGGGAGACTGTTGCTCAGCCATCCAGAAACAGTTGTAGTCAGAAGACATCATTGGTCCTGTGTTTCCTACGGAAATAAGAAACAATAAATATTGCACTGAATGTTTGTGGTTTGGAGTCCCTAACTGATAAAGAGGGGACATGTTTGCAGAAAGTCGAGTGAGGTTTTTATGCAGAATTTTGTCAGAGGACAATGGCGCTGCATGTTTTTCTTTGAGTGCAAATGTACATTGCTAAGATTTTTTTTTTTTTTAAGATGGCATGTGCTTTGAAAAGAGGAAATTGCATTTTTAAGAGTTTGAAAATCTTATGAGTGAGAAATATAAGAAATCTTACTTATTTTCACCTCTTTAGAAAAAAAAATAAAAGTTGTTTCTCATATCTCTCTTTCTCTAGTACTTGACTGTTGGCAAAGTGATAATCATTACCTAGTGACTACAAAGCCTAAATGCAAAGGAAAAAAAAGATATGTTTATGTTTTTGGAATCCGTGCCATATTTTGTTCCTAATAGGATCAACTCACTGTTCATCTAAGACTTCAGATGTATTAAAATTACAGGAAAAAGTAAAACTTTTTATAGATAACCCTTTTAACTGCAGCACATCTTGTGGATTCTCCTTATGTGTGGTGCTTACTTGGTTGGGTTGCTCGAGGGCTACTCATTACTTTTTTAAGCCATTATACAAGCTGGTTATTTGCCATGTAAAGTGGCTACAGTAGGTCAAAAACCAGTTCAGATTTCGAACCAGTAAAAGGAAAGCAACAACATCACTCTTTGCTTCAGTCCTGCCGTTTCCCTTCCAGACCAGTATAGTGATGGTGTGTTATACCTTATAGTTTTACAAAGTACATTTCAAATGTATTATTGTCATAACTACTCTATAAGCAATAGCAATGGAGCAGATCAAAAAATATTTGAAATAGAAGAAAGAGTATGTCTGGGATAAGTACTCTGTTAAAGATTAAGTGATAAGTATAATGGAATCTTAAGTAAAAAACCATTGGGGGAATTGGGTAGGCTTCACTAAAGAGGTGACATTTTAGCTCAGCCTTGAAGATAGAAGAGGGAAGGGTGTGATGAAGGTGTGAAGGAAAGGAAAGGCATTTTGGGCAATAGTGTTGGAGAGTTGAAAGTGATAAGAGGCTGAAGAAAATCAGTTTAATTCAAGTTGCAAATGGCTTTGTATGCCAAGGTAAGGAATTCAGGTCTTGGGACTTCCCTGGTGGTCCAGTGGCTAGTACAGGGAACTCAGGTTCCATCCTTGATCAGGGAACTTGATCCCACATGCTGCAACTAAGAGTTCCCAGGCCACACCTAAAGATCCTGCATACCACAAAAAAAAAAAAAAAATCCTGAATGCTTCAACAAAGACCGAGTGCAGTCAAGTAAATAAAGTTTTTTGTTTTTTTTTTTTTTCAAATAAGAACTGTCTTTAAAAATTCAGACCTTACCCATTAGATGTGGGTGAATCTTAGAGAAAATTTTAAGCATAAGTTGTTTTTGTGAGGGAATTATGGTTGGTTGACTTGTAGATAAGAAGTCCAGCGATTAGAAATGCCAAAACCTACATAAGGCTTTGGAACAATCCAGACTGGATAACTAGGTCCAAAGTAAGTGGAATTCTGATAAATAGAAAGAAGGGAAATAAAGACTTTAATAAGAGATGAGATGAAGTCTTAATAAGGAATGAAGGACTTAACAGGAGATTTCCCCAAAGGTAGTTCTCAGTTTCAAGTCCAGCTAACATCTAATATACTTGATCCTTGGAGTCCTTTCAAATTGAACTTTGGCAGCTGTTGAGGCCTACCATGACCCCACCTTCCCATTGTGGAAAATGATAGCAGCTACTGGTGATTGAGAGCCGTGATAAACCAGCACTGTGCCAAGCACCCTTAGAAAAGGCTTTGATAAGTAATTTACCCCAGTAAGCGGCAGGGCTTAGGCTAGACTGCTAAATTCCAGTAGTCACTTAGGTAAGATACTGGTGAAGTTGGAAGCTTTTACTCCCTAGCCCAGGCTTTTCTTGCCCAGTTTTTCCTTTACCCTGTCAGTCATTCCTGCCTCCAGTTCTACTGTGTGCTGCTTTTAAGGCAAATCACAGTATGGGCTTAGTCTGCTTAGCAGGGCCCATTAGCCTGGAAGGCTACAAAATGTCACAGCATAGGGAAAGCATGCCATGCCCCAGAAGAATGAGTTTCTCCTGGAAAAAAGCATCAAGTCAGTAGTCTAGTTTACTTTGGACTTAACTACAAAATGAGTAGGATACCTTGTGTTGCCTGCTTCAATCTGAAAACACCAAGATTGCTTAAACATCCGTAACTTAGGCAACCCACTCATCCAGGCCGAGGGTTTAATCCAGAAAGTGATTTCCTATTGGTGCATGTGTCATCTGGAGCCACAGTGGCCTTGGGATGGAAAGCTGCCCGTTTTAAACTTAGGGTTGCCGTTTCCAGTGTCAGAACTTGCATGGGATTCCTTAGTGCATTACCTCTGCCCTTTCCCAGTTTAGCTTCTTCGAGACTCAGCTGTTCTCCCAGTTCCTGAGGCCAGGGGAGTCTTAGTTATTTTCAGCTCTTTAATTATCCAGAGCTGGAGCAGTTCCTAGAACTTGGTTCAGGGATGATCAGACTTGGTTTGTAGTCCATATCCTTTATTGGGTGTGTATTTAAGTCGCAGAAAAGACTGGAAACTAACCACAGAGTCTGGTTTTCATAAGTCTTTCCCAGAACCCCTAATATGGCAAACATGGAATTAATTGCACCTTTTGAGGTGGAGCCAGAGGTTCAAGTGTTCCCATTTCCCCTAACAATACAGCTTGAAAAACCTATACCCTCTCTGGCCACCTAGTAACCTGCTGTGTTTGTTGGGATGGATAACAGAAGTAGACTGAAGGGAATTCCTTGGCGGCCTAGTGGTTAAATCTTGGCACTCAATGCCATGGGCCCAGGTTGATCTCTGGTCAGGGAACTGAGATCCCATAAGCCCCGTGTGTGACCAGAAAATAAAAATTCTCTTAAAGTAGGCTGAAGTTGAAGCATAAGGTAAAACTGGCTTAATCTTTAAATTTTACTCATCTGTAGTCATAGAAACAAATTAGCAAGATGGTAGGCTTAAACCCACCTTCTTGTTCAGTTGCTAAGTCATGTCTGACTCTCTGACCCCATGGATACTCTGTCCATGGACTTCTACAGGCAAGAATACTGGAGTGGGTTGCCATTCCCTTCTCCAGGGGATCTTCCCGACCCAGCGATCGAACCCAGGTCGCCTGAATTGCAGGCAGATTCTTTACCATCTGAGACACCAAAGAGGCCTAGCATGCACTTTCGCAATTAGACTGAACACTCTAAAAGATAAAGGTGGTCAGATTGGATTGAAAAGCAAGACTCAACTATACGCTAGTTGCAATGACAGAAATGTCTACTTTCCTCACTGGATTTGCCCTCCCCTCATGTCAAATTCAGGTTCACTAGGTGTTAGAATTCACAGACCTGCTTTACTCAAATGTATATCTTTCTGGTTCAAGTAGCTGAGTGGTGAACTGAAAAGTGAAAAGGGGATAAGATCACTGACCATTAATGTCCATTTTTTAGCTACAAAAGTGTAATTTTTTAAGGTTTGAATGGGACTGATATATATAAAATAGAAAATGTTTCTGTATCCTTACCCCAAATCTCATTCTCTTGAGGTAGTGCTTAGTGCATCTTCTCCCAGACATTTTTTCCATGCACTTAAAATTATTTTTCTAACCTACAGAGATTTTTTCTAGCAAAGAAACACCTGTGAACACATTTATACCCTTTAAGATAAAACCTGACAATGGGGCTTATCTCCTTAAGAGAAGCCACTCATGGTCCCCTTTATGTAAGCTAAATTTTGTGAATTTTGGTCTTGAACCATTAGTGTGCTACTTCTGGTACCCAGTTATCCATAAGAACAGGCTATGTCTGGACTGAATACAAAAATTCCTTGGAATTTTACTTGTACGATCAGATTGTTGTCACCCAAGACCCACAGATGTAAGAAGCAGAGAAAAAGGGGTGCTGTATCAGGCCCTCCCAGGATGGATTGCTGCCTCAGCAGTGGCAGACATATGGTGTAACAGACTCATTAGAGCCCAAACTTTGAACCTACACTGTTGGACTCAAGTTCCAGCTGCGAAGCTCACTAGCTATGTGACTTAATCTGTGCACTGGTTTCTTCTTCATCTATTAATTGAGTGTTATAGTAGCACTTAGCCGATAAGATTACCGTGAGGATAAGAGTATACAGGGCACTTGGGACAGAGTCCAACACTTGATATGTATCAGGTGAGTGTCTGCTCTCCTTAAGGCTGATACAGGTTTTCGCTGAGCCATACAGTAAACAGCAGCATCTTCTTTAGTTCCTTCTTTAGAAACCTTAATGGAAGAAAACTCCCTCAAAGAACAGTAAAGGTGCTTAGTTTTGTACATTTACCCCACCCAAA